GATATGGCCCTACGCCAGCACAAGTCGTCATGTCCGTCCCCCCTCTTCGCCTCCGCTCCATTCCTCCTAACTTTCCTCCAGGTTTCCCCCAGACCAAGATCCTTGGCCACCATACACCGTCTGTGAGTCCGAGCCAGTGCCGTCCTCGCAGCTCGCAGCTGACGTCTGCCTACAGGGGACTTCTTCCCACCACTATACAACTGCCCCCACGAACTCGACAGGCTAGGTGCCCTCGGCGACGGCGGGAAATGGATATGCGGCATGTCCAGAATACAGGACAAGCCTGACTGTGTCATCTACTCATTTGGTACGTCCTCTCCCTTGCACCCCTATCATTGCGCACCATTGTGCATCCCTTGTGTGGCCACGTCGTCCCGCTGCCCTTCTTCCTGCTCGCGTTACCGCCTCTACTCCACTTGGTAGACGCCACTGCCCCCACCTCGTCTCGGCTATGCATCTACACCCTCGCACGTCCGCAACGCGCCCAGCGTCGTCGCTGCTCACCGCCTTGCGCGGGGGCTTTGACACGTCGCGCTGTGCAATTTGACACCCTCCTCTGCTTCCGTCTTCCTCCCGGCGTCAAAGCGGGGTCACGACTCAGATCTGTCTTCGCGTCGAGATGAGCGCGCGCAGACGCATGCTGGCTGGGAACGCTCACCCCAACGCGTATCTTCCATTATTTAGCAGCGTTGTGAGTCTGGATGGGTCTTTGTATTTGCATTAGTCGCGCGCGCTGTAAGGATTGATGAACGTGCGTCGCGCTCTCACATCGGGAGCGCGCGCTGTCTCGCTGGCACAGCGCGCAGGGCCGATCTGTGATCCCCGATACGACATCCTCCCCCGCTTCCGAGCTGCCTAACCCGCACGTTGTACGTGAACTAGCGCGCTTACCTCTCTCCCCCACCGCGCACGCACGCAACGCAGGCATCGACTCGACGTACCTGTTCGAGGCGACGCTCCTCCAGTCCACGCGCTTCTGCCAGGTCTGGATATACGACTCGACCAAGGGCGCCGGCGCCGAGGGCCACATCCCGCGCGCGCTGCGGCACAGGGCGCACTTTGGGAAGCTCGCGCTCGGCGCGAGCGACAGGCACGGCGCGGGCGACGAGCCCAAGACGTGGACGCTCAAGAGCCTCATGGCCGAGAACGGTGAGTCTGCTGCGGTAGTATGGTGTAGTGCAAGGGCGGCCGGATCGCTGACGCGCGCCCCTCCCTCTCCTTGCACGCAGGTCACTCACACATCGACTTCCTCCGGCTCGACGTCGAGGGCTGGGAGTGGGAGACGTTCCGCGGCATCGTGCGCGACTTCACCATGGAGCGCGGCAACCCCGGCGGCGGCGGGCCGCACGCGCCCAACAACGACAACGCGACGAGCGGGTGGGGCGTCGCGGAGCGCGAGGGCGTCCTGCCGTTCGGGCAGCTGCAGATCGAGCTGCACGTGTGGAACCAGCGCTTCCAGGACTTTTTGGAGTGGTGGGAGCTGCTAGAGGTTGCCGGCCTGCGGCCGTTCCACAACGAGGCACGTGCCGCGCGAGCTTCGGGGAGCTTGGGGCTGATGATTTGGTATTCAGATCAACTTGGTGTACGCGAACTACAACCGGCATAGCGGGGTCGAGCTCGCGGAGGTGAGTGATGGCGTTTCGAAAGATGGCGGCGGCTGACTCCGGGGCTTGCAGTACTCATTCATCAATATCCGCGGGGAGAACGCGTTCATCAAGGACTACGTCCCCGTCTTGCCCGAGACGACTCCCCCGCGCGGCCCCGGGATAGGGCCGGAGCGACGATGACGGCCGGCTGACCGTGGACCGTGCGCGGGGATCGTGCTTCGCTATGACAGGATCGGAAACGGAATTGGGACGGGGAGGAGGGGAGGGCCGCGCTAGAGCTCGAGGCTGGGGGTGTTATATCATACCGAGATCAACGTATACCATGCATATATCGTGAGTGCATATAGTGCTGTCCATTCCGCTCCGTACGGAGGGTTGCCGTCTTGCAACGTGGACGTAATCTACGCTGTCCGCGTCCCTTTCCCCCCGGGCATGTGCGGAGCGGGGTTTGTGCACGGCGACTGAGGATGCGGATACACGGCAGGAGGCAGACGTCCGCCGTTTTGCAAAGGATTGTTCAGAAGAGTCACGTCTCTACAAAAGAAAAGATTGCTTTGCGCCTCCCCCTTTTCATTGGTTTTTCGCCAGTCGAAATGCCTGCCGTGATCAGGTCGTCCGTCTCAGACAGTACTGACTCCAGGAACGCGCGGAACACGGGAGATTTTGTATTGTGATGATCCCTCTGAGATATATCCTAGGCTAGTGTCCTCTTTTCGACGCTGCTTGGTCTGTTCACCCAGATAGTAGCAATTGCATGAAAGATTACGGACTCGAGCTTCGTAGTACCAGAAGAACTACATGTCAAACCCGCCGATTGCGAAGACACAAACAGTTGCGACACATTCCACGTACTACTCACGCTCAGCGAACGAACTCCGGAAGTCTGGTGACCCGGGCGCCGACCTATGAAGGGAAGCGCCCCCACTCCTCCCGCCACACGCCCAGATGCAACCTCTCTGCGTCCCGCCATAGCCGTGCCAGCGCAGCAGCCACTCTCAGTCTTCGCACCCGAAGTCCTCCGCCGTCCTGAACTTGACCTTCTCGAGCGGCCAGCACGGCCCGTACTCTCGACTTAGGTGCCCCCGGCCGACAGACAGCCGCTTCACGACTGGGCGCAGGTGTGGCCCGTAGCCGAAGAGCTCCAGCGAGTGCGGCAGGTCCTCGAGGGGTAGCTGATGGCCTAGGAGGTTGTAGCCCGGAAGTGGTGGCTCGAGGATGTGCAGGTAGCGCATAGACGAGCACTCGCCGAACTATAGATGCAAGGGTGAATCAGCCTACTTGTTACCACACCAGGGTTGTGATTGTGCAGGACGCGATTGTCAATGCAGACGAGAAACAAACGCAACGCGTAGCCGAGGGAAACAGGACGTACCAGCCTTCCGAGCCGCCTGACGATCGTCTCACGTAGCGAGTCCTGTTCCCAAGGTATGATGAGAGTGAAGCGTAGCGACGACATGACTCTCGGTAAATGATCCTTAAACACTTTCATGTAGTGCGGGTTCCAGTCAAAGAGTGTCAGCTCGTATCCGAGGGCATCAAGCGCGGGGAGCTTGGGGAGGAGCCTGAGCAACGCCTGGTCCGCTCCCGACTGCGCTGACACGCGAACGTCGAGGCGACGGGGACGCTGCTTGTCCTGCAGGAATCTGCAAAGAATGTCAACTTCCTCCTCTGAAAGGATATCAGGCCCAGTGTTGAGGAACTTGAACGAGGTCAAAGTGGGGAGGGCGTCTGGGTGTGCTTCGAGCACAGGGAGCAGCTCGTCCGGGTGGATAGAGAGGATTGTGAGCGATGTCAGGACGGCGCAGTGTCGGGATATTAGAGGAAGTTAGTCGAAATTTTCGGTGAACACAAATCCGAGCTCCCGCAGCCCGACGAAAGAAGGTACGGAGCAGAGCCAGAGGATGTCGCTGAGAATGGTGAGTCGAACGAGGGTGTGTGCATTCGCTTCAAGTATCCTAGCCATAGAGTTCACCGCCTGTTCATCAATTGAGAGCATGTCAGCTCCAATTCCCGCGTGGGAGATGAACAAAGTATGAAGGCGCGTCGGGGTGGAGGTCAAGGGGATGCCTTCCCTTCCTATTCTAAGGGGCGGAAGTCAGCGAGAAACAATAGGGAGTAGTGCAACGGAATTACTGTGCGGATAACGTGGTCATAGAAAACTCTTTCAAGGTCTTCCCAGAAGCTGAAAACAACGCTTGGAGTATTGAGCATGAGAGGGAAGGACGTTCGCCATCCCAGCTGAAGGAGCGAAGGTTGATGAGCATGTCGAGCGTTGCAATCAGGCAGCCTAGAAAGTAGCGTACCATACATCAGATTGTAAGTCATAGAATCTTGCACGGAGCACTCACGAGTCTGGAAGATGCATTCGCTATGATCATCCCAAGCGTAGGCACGGACCGTGGGCCTCCTAACTACTCTCGCAAAATCTGGGCGGCAAGAGATCGTTCACAGGACGTCCCAAGTGATACCATTGTTACGACTCATTCAATCGTGATGTCCCTCCAATAGATCAACGTTTTATACATCTCTCCGCCATAGTCCAAAGGTCACTGTAATGTCGCTGAAAACGCTGGATAGGGCGAGGTGCATCATGCGGGAGACAAAGAGACACGTTCTTCGGTCTTTCCGTGGGAGGTAACGAACGACAAGACCCCATATCTCTGAAGGAAATATCAGCATGCTCAACGACCTCCAGGCTCTAGCTTGTCTCGCGAGGTTGGGGAACTGGTGGTTGTCAGAGGTCGGACTCAGGTGAACCGTGAACGGATCCGCAACCAGCCACGAGGTTGGATTATGTCAGCCGAGAATTAAGCGCTTCTCCCGTCTTCCGCTCTCTCTAGCTACCTCCCTCAATTCTCCCACTTATTTTTTTCCTCTCTTCCTGAGCTGGCGCCTGAATGGTGATGAACGGTTGATATGGTAGACTACCCCACCGATTCTGAGCCACCTGCCAAAAGAGTCTACTCCACTGAGACCAACGCTGGTCAGCAAACATCCTTCCGACCCGGCGCGAGCGGCCGCCGTAGTTAGCGCACGAAAACCTGAGCTACCAACCCTTGAAGCCAGAAATCGAGCCCTCGAGCGAAGCGACAGGGCGTCTCGATCAATTGCGTTGCGATTCATCATATTAAATTATGTCAGCGTTGAGATCTGAGAAAGACCTCCCGGCGCCTGCCACAAATTCACCGCTTGTGACTGAATCTACTCAACGTTCGATGATCCTGGTTTTCTGCATGGTTACTGGAATCTCGTGGAACTACAGATAATTATGTGACCCTTCGAGGGAAACGAGCCCTTAGGCCTTATGTATCGCCCAGCGTTCGTCCGAACGGGATCCGTAGATCTAGGCTTACTAATCTAAAGTAGCTGCTCAGTTTCTTCTGGTTCACAGCTCATCAACTCGCCGCGCCTTCAAACATCTCTTCGATTCCATGTGGTCAGCTACATACAGAGGCTACTGCCGGTATCGACGAAGTATTCCGGTTGGTCGCACTTTAATGTGGGCGCTATGATCACAGGGAGTACTACTACCTCAACTTGACCTGCTTAGCAAGCTACGATGTCGTTATCCTCCAGTATTACAAAGCAACGGTGGAATCAGATATCCGGGAAATCGGCAGCGAGAGTTCTGTCGGAAGTTGCACCCACCATCAACTGCGAAGATGCGTTACCCGTTAGGCTGGAGTTGACACGTCCCAATGGGAGTATAAAGTGTACGTGCATACCCCCAAGTACCATAACTCACATCTACGTCTCACAGTAACCCCATCAGAGAGATTGAAATGTCGACTCAAAGGGCCCTGGTCGTTCCTGCCGAAGGGCAGCCTTTCAAGTTCGTCAGCGACTGGCCCATTCCCAAGCCCGGTCCCAAGGACGTCCTAGTCAAGCTCGTCTCCATCGCACTCAACCCCGCCGACTGGCGCCTGGAACTCGGGGGCTCGGGCATTTTCAAGGATTATCCTATCGCCGGCGGCCTGGATGGTTCAGGCGTCATCGAGGAGGTCGGATCCGAGGTGACGCACCTCGCCAAGGGTGACAAGGTGTATGTTGTGCCAACGCCGTTATGTGTGTTGTCTCTGACGCGTGCCCCTCTTCCTCGGTACGATATGTAGTCTATTTGAAGGATGGTTCGTCCCAGGGCGCGGGACGTTCCAAGAGTATGCACTCAGCCCCGCTGCTTATGTCGCGAAGGTATATTCAGCATTTTGACTTACTGCCGAAGAGTACTGAGGCGAAAATCACCCAGATCCCCGACAACATCTCCTTTGACCGGGCTGCGACTGTTCCAATGTGCCTCGCCATAGTCTTCTCCAGTACCTGGGCACACGAGGATGGCGCAAGGTCCGCGAGATTGACGCCTCCTTGGGAGGAAGGCGGTAAGACCAAGTACGCCGGAGACGTCGCCTTCATTGTTGGCGGTTCGTCTTCTGTAGGCCAATACGGTACGTGACGATCTCTCACTCACTTACCACTGAATTTACAACGGATCCGCCTGACAGCCATCCAGGGCGCACGCCTGCAAGGGTACGCGGCCATCATCGCCACCTCCTCTCTCAAACACCAGGAATTCCTCAAGTCGCTCGGGGCAACCCATATCATCGACCGCAACCTCCCGCCCGGGGAGATCTAAGCCCAGGTCCGCACCTTCGCCGCGGGCAAGCCGATCACTTACGTCTACGATGCTATTGGTGAGCGAGATGGTCAGCGGCTCAGCTACGAGCTCTTGGCGGATGGCGGTGCATTTGTCACCGTCCAACTGTTCTTCCACGAATACCTTGAGGACTTGGTTACGGAAAGCAAGCCTGTCATCCGCGCGTTAGGCTCGTTTGAACTACCTGGGCATGGGAAGCTCGGATTGGAGGTGTACAGTCGCCTGTCCGAGTGGCTCGCTACGGGTGTTATCGTGGTATGTCTTCCCGCCTACTCTTCGTTCTAGCCGGCGTTGACTTGTCTCGCATCTGGTAGCCAAATAGGGCGGAGGTTGTGCCAGGCGGTTTCGCTGGAATTCCAGGAGGTTTGGAGAGGCTGCGGAAGGGCGAAGTCAGCGGTGTCAAATTGGTCGTACATGCCGCCGAAACTCCATAAGGTCGAGATTTCGCAGAGCAACATGGGTCTTCGCAGGTCATCATTCATGCAATCGATCTGATGCTATACAAGTTCCTTCACTACCCCTAATGACATAGTAGAGTGACGAGGGGTCTAGGCAGCCATACGACCCCCTACCTCGTCCACCTACTCGTCCACACTCCAACGAAGCGATGCTCTCTTGAGGCCACCGAAATGACGCGCGATGCTTCATATGTATCATTCGGTGGGCACTGCGTATCATATGGATGGGCGATGTTCCTTTTGCAAATGAGTGGTATGATCTTCGAATCAATATCAGAGCGCACTCACAATTATTGATGATGCTGTCTTGTCCGTGGTGCCTCAGCAACCACTCCCAGTCTTCGTAGCCAAAGTCGTCGGTTTGTCTGAAGTACACTTTTGAGGCGGGCCAGCTGTCGCTGTACAGTACTTCTTTCGTGCTCGGGTTGCGTGATACCCAGCGCAGGTTGCGTTTGTACCCAAGGAGCTGCAGCACGGGTGGGGGATGTCGGGAGACGACAGACTCGAGCTCAATGTCGTTGTCTGGCAGTAGCTGTAGATAACGGCAGAATTCTTGTGCCTCGAACTATGTCAAAAATTCAGTGCTGGTAGTTCGGCAACATAGCATGAGCACGACATACAAATTCTGCCCATTCATCTTCTGTGAGGGTCATTTCTGAGGCGGATATTCTCAGAGACAGAGCGGTGAGATGGCGCGGGATACATGCGCTGAGTTCAGCGAGATGATCTGACGTCAGCTGCTGGGACCGAATGTCGCAACCAAGGATAGTGAGGTGAGGGAGGTCCTTGAGGACCCGCAGGACTGGCTCATTGGTGAGCGGCTCGTCCTCTGAGGCCCATCCGTAGGAGTGAACGAAGTCGAGGCGCTGGAGGAACGACTTCCCTTGAAGGAACGTCGCAAAAGCCTCTATATCCTCTGCCGTCATCCAGCCGCACATCACTTTGCAGGAAGTGAGGAGCGGGAGGGCATCGGAATGCTCCTCAAAGACGTCAGCAAGGTCTCCATCGATCTTGTGATCTACACACAGTGTGAATGAGCGAAGCTGTGTACAGTCCTCAAAGACCTCGTGAAGGCCAACGATCTCCGAAATGGAGACAAGAGAGAGCTCTACTAGAGAGGCGAATGGCCGTACTAGGTTGGATGCCGAGAAAACGTCTCCGGATAGATCAAGGCGGCGTAGAGTAGGCTCATTTGTTGCGACACTGCCACCCTGAAACTCGTGCTTTCAGGAGAGACTTCCTCGGTCTCTCCATACCAACGAGGAAGGAACGCGAGTGAGCGCAAATGGTTTATGGATGGGAGGAAGGGGCAAAAGTCTGGCAGTTCAGGACTATCGAGTTATAATGCCATTAGATATGTCAAATTAACCCACATAACCATTCTATGCAACTCACGGAAGTGTTAGCTCTGACAGAGTGTCAGAAGAGTGCTCTATGAGAGCTTCAAGCACCTCTGGTTGCGGTTCCGGACCGCGACCATACCAAGCAAATGCATGGAGCCGAAGGACGGAGAGTGCATCACCAGTAGCCTCTGTAATGATTGCTTGTCATTAGTAGAGTTGAAGTGTCACTCCGGTGGATGAAGCGCACCGATGAGCTCCTGCGAAGGACCCTCTTCTGGATATGTATAGGCGCGTACAGTCATGCCCATCACGATGCAAGCAAGATCCGGCGACTGCTTGATGTGCCGCAAGAGCTCGCAGCTGAGACGGGTAGCCTTGTCTGCCTCAACCTGTTCATCATCACACACTTCCTCCGAGCAGGGATCGGACACATCCCTCCACAATCCAAAGCGAATGGTGATATGGGAGAAGACTATCTCCCACGCGATGTCGTGAAGCATTCTTGAGACGTATAAGCACCTTCTCTGGTCGTTGGAGGGCAAGGCTTGAATTATCCGATACCATAGCTCGGTGGGTAAGCCTATACGACGCGGGTAGCTCATCCTAGAGAAAGCAATAGCGTTCGGAATGGTGACAGTTGCTGAAGAAGGGCCGTGTCCCTTCGGCGCTAGACATGCACGCAGCATGGTCCTTTCCTATCCTGGGACGTCACGAGCAGGCTGACAGACGCTATGAAGCTGCCGTGAGCGGACCTAGTCTCTACCAATTACATGGTGCTGTAGTGTTTTCACGGTGGGTACGATACATCAACATGATGCATAGTAAGGAGATTATTAGCAGTATTGAACTTCACTCTCGGGCAATTTGATGCTGTCCCAGCTGGTGCCATCAGTGTGTCACGGATACACGGCGTTCTGCAAAGACACACCTCGGAGGTCTAGGATTCGTCCGAGCAGTTCGCGCATCTTAGTAGGCATTTGCTTCGTAGGATAGCCTCATCAGGACAGCTTGAGAGGACCGTACATGTGGGAAGGTGTCTGCATCGACCAAGTCATCGTGCCCCCTGCTCATCAGGCGTGCGCTCTGTCACTCGTGTACAACCAGGCTGGCCTGTACCATTAGCCGCATGTAGTCATAGCCATGTCCCCAGGCCTTCTGCTGCTAAGGGATATCATGCTCTCTACCGTCTCCCTATTGCCACCGCAACAGCTGCGATCCGTCATTGGAATAGCCGTGTCTGTACTTGAGCTGTTTGGGAACTCCGAGATGTGCATTGCTAGAACGATTTCGATGTCAGGAAAGCACGCTATGCACAGCCAGCCGATAGACCAGGTCTGACGGAATACGGAAAACCCCTGACGCCACGTTACTACTGAAATCCCGATTCAAGCTGGAAGCACGTATGAGGGAAGCATGTAAGAAAGGAGGACAAATTGGTTGAGTCTACTATGTTCATAGGGGATCGTCCAAGCGACCACTCAGAGTATATGCGTGCATCTAATTCAAGTCCTTGTCACTGGAGTCCATGCGCTTCCATAGATCTGGTGGATCCATCGACCCTGAGCTCCGTTTTAGTTAGACGACTTACGTAGAGTCACGAAAATCACTCACAAATATCACAATCGTCATCGTCCTGGCCGTGATGTCTCAGCAGCCATTCCCAATCTTCGTGGCCTTGGTATTCCTCGACCGAACGGAAGTATACCTTCGACGCCGGCCAAAACTCGGAGTACTTGGGGGCGCGCGTCTTTGGATCGTGCGTCACCCACCGCAGGCCGTTGTTGTAGCCGAGCAGCTCCAGGTTAGGCGGGGGACGCCTGAAGATGGCATTCCCGAGCGAACGGGTCAATGGCTGACGAGTGCCTATGTGCAGGTAGCGAAGAGCCTCATGCTTCGAGAACTGTGCAGACCGTGTACCTCGGATTGCGGATGATGAGGTGATAAGACTACTCACGAAGCTTCGCCAGTCCACGACCTTCACATCGGATGTGTTCGCGTGGAAGAGGATGGAGAGTGCAGTCACTTGAGGAGGGACATACTGCTCAAGAAGCTTGACGTGCGCCGAGGTCATCTTGGCTGGCCGTATGTCCAGTCCCAGAATCTCCAGGTTTGGCAGGTCCCGCAAGATCTTGAGGAACGACATATTGATGAGATCCTCGCCCTGATCGACCTGCGTACGGCTGAGAACGTCAACCCGTCGCAGCCGTCTCTTCTTCTTGAGGAATTTGGCGACCTCTTCGATGACATCCTCATCGAGGTCGAAAACAGAAAGAAGCTTGAAAGATGTAAGGTGTGGGAATGCGTCCTGGTGGATGTTCAAGACGTCGATAATCTCCGAGCCGTCGTTTTCCGTACAGAGCGTGAATCCCCGTAGCTCACGACAGTGTTCGAAGACAGAGCCGAGACCAGCCAGCGTGCATGGAAAGACAATGGCAAGCTCGTGAAGGCTGGCGAACGACATGGGCAGGCATTCCCATAAGGCGTCGCCGAACACTTCGAGGCGACGGAGAGTGGCGGAATTGGCTGCGATCGTCTGGTGGACAGTCTTGTGGTATGGAGCGCCTATATGCATCTGCGGCCATAGGTCGAGGAATCTGTGTCGGAATACGAGAGACTGAACCTGAGTGAAGGAAGGCAAACACAAATCTTCTGGAAACTCTGGGCTGTTGGTTTGTCCGGTAAGTCGCTCGTGCAACTGAGAGGTCCCGCTATCTCCGAGCACTCACTGTATGATAAAATCAACTACTCTCTGTCCTGACGACCTCAGAAGGGCGTCCATGACCTCGCAAGGCAGTTTCGGCAAAGGTCCGAACCAAGCAAAGGCGGACAGGTTATGAAGCGCTTCGATAGCTTCGGCCAAAGTACCTGAAGGAGACAACGTCAGACGCGTGGCACAGCTGTTCCGGTGCCTACTGACTAATTTCATATACTAAGAGTGATTCTTCGAAGAGCGAGTAGGCCCGCACAGTGAGCTTCTTGACAAGGCGGGCAAATTCCGGCGTACGCGTGATATGGCGAAGGAGGGCATAGTTGAGTTTGGCCAATCTGCTCGCTTCCGCGACCTCGATGGGGGCAGGCGTAAGGCCAAAGTCAATCCCATGCGATATGTCGTCGTCTCTTCTCCAGAGTCCGAGAGTAATGATGATGTGCGAGAATACGTATTTCTGGGCGATATCGTGGTGCAGCTTCGACACGGACAAACATGTTTTCTGGTCCTGCGGAGGCAAGAACTGGATGATGCGGTACCAAAGTTCCGTCGGCAGCTGCTTGGCCATATTGCTGAGCTTTGTGATGAGCTTTGCCGACACCTTTCGCAGGGCTCTGGGAAGAACTTGGATGCGACTGCCAATATTCGTTACCGCATACAAACAACATGGGCGCTAAATATATTCACATGATGTCATCAAGAGATCAATATTCCGTCTACATATTGCCCTCGATTAATGCTACATTACACAATAAGTACTTAACTTCCAAGGAGCCCTCACGCCTCGATCTCCCGGTCGGGTTTGTCAGCCCACCTCAACTGTCCACATTCCAATTGTTCTATGCATGTTCCCTTCTGTCCGGCTCGGCTCGCAGTACTAGCATATGTGCTATCTCCTGTAGCCAGGACTCTCCACAAAGCTGACACAATGGTCAACCTCCCAAGCAGCATAACTCACAACTGTACAGCTCTCAGCGACACCAGCTTACGATGTCGCTTCAAAGGGCCTTAGTCATTCCTGCCGAGCGACAGCCTTTCAAGCTCGTCAGCGACTGGCCTATTCCCAAGCCCGGTCCCAAGGACGTCCTAGTCAAGCTCATCTCAATCGCACTCAACCCCGCCGACTGGCGCGTCGAATCTGGGACCGCTCGGGGTTTCGTCAAGGAATATCCTGTCATCTGCGGCCTGGACGGTGCAGGCGTCATCGAGGAAATCGGTTCCAAGGTGACGCATCTTGCCAAGGGCGACAAGGTGTAAGCTGTGGCAACGTCATTATGTTTGTTGTCTCTAACGCGTGCCCCTCTTCTCCGATATGTTATGTAGGCTGTTCGAAGGATGGTTCGACGAAGTGCACGGGACGTTCCAGGAGTATGCACTCAGTCCGGCTGCTTATACCGCCAAGGTACCTTCAGCCCTTTGATTTACTTCCGAATCGTATCGAAATCGTATTATTCAGATTCCCGACAACATCTCCTTTGACCGGGCTGCTACTGTTCCCATGTGCCTCGCCACAGTCATTACTGGCATCTGGGCGCACGATGATGGCGCGAGGTCCGCCAAATTCACGCCTCCTTGGGAGGAAGGCGGTAAGACCAAGTACGCCGGAGACGTCGCCTTCATCGTCGGCGGTTCGTCTTCTGTAGGCCAATACGGTACGTGGAAATCACTCACTCGCTTACCACTGAAGATACAACTGTCCTGCCTGACAGCCATCCAGTGTGCGCGCATGCAAGGATACGCGGCCATCATCGCCACCTCCTCTCTCAAACACCAGGAATTCCTCAAGTCGCTCGGGGCAACCCACATCATCGACCGCAACCTCCCGCCCGGGGAGATCCAAGCCCAGGCCCGCACCTTCGCCGCGGGCAAGCCGATCACTTACGTCTACGACGCTATTGGTGAGCGAGAGGAACAGCAGCTCAGCTACGAGCTCTTGGCGGATGGCGGTGCGTTTGTCACCGTCCAGCCGTTCTTCCATGAATACCTTGAGGACCTGGTGACGGAGAATGAGCCTGTCATCCGCGTGTACGGGACATTCGATGTTCCCGAGAATTATAAGCTCGGATCGGAGGTGTACAGTCGACTGCCTGAGTGGCCCGCTACGGGTGTCATCGTGGTACGTCTTTCCGCCTACTCTTCGTTCTGTGCCGGCGTTGACTTGTCTCACATCTGGTAGCCAAATAGGGCGGAGGTTGTGCCAGGCGGTCTCGCTGGAATTCCAGGAGGTTTGGAGAGGCTGCGGAAGGGCAAAGTCGCTGCATATATTGACACCATGTCACCGTAAAGCTCGATGTTACGGCGGCATCTTACTCCAATGAATTTACTCTACAGGCCTTCCACAACACCATTCACTGAGCCTGCGGGACCCGCCATTGCGACGAGTGTATACCCCAAGAATGGCACGACCTCGCAAGCATCGCTCGCATTCTCTGCGCCATCCGTTATGACCCGCCTGATCGCCGGCAGAGACCAGTTCAAGCCTCTGAGGGCTTGCACGATAGACGACACTAGACGTTCTGGGTTTGGATAAAACCTCACAGGGGCTCATTGTCGCACTGGATCTTCGTACATTCCAAGTGTTGTACAGTAACGATCTTCCGTGAAGCGAACGCCATATCGCCGATCTACCTACCTCATGTCGCAGGGGACGTAAATATCCATCACGGTTACCTCCTCTCATCCCCACAAATGCAAGGCTTGTGCGATTGGCCCGCCTATGTAGCGCTCACCCTTGACCTCATGCCTGGAGAGGACATCCGCGATTTGGTCCAACTCCTCTTGCGTCAGCTCGATCTCTCCGCTACGGATGTTCTCTACAACTCTCTTTGCATTGCTGTGGGTGCCGGTCAGCCGTGATTCTGGCATGGAACAAGGGACGGGAACTCACGTAGATCCTGGGAGAGGGATGACGTGTGGCCCGCGCGATGCGACCCAAGCAATGGCAAGTTGGGGGAGGGTGACTTGTTTTCGAGCGGCGATGACCTTGATCTCCTCAAGAATAGCGAGGTTGTGCTTCAGGTTCTGAAAATAGTGGAAACGGGGTCAGCGCCATGGCCAATATAAAAAATCTGAAGAGCAGTCCGACCTCATCCTGGAACCGATCGAACCTGCGACAGTAGTCAACCTCCGGGAGTTCGGCCTTGCTAGTGATGAGTCCGGTCAGCAATCCCCTGCTCAGGGGCCTGGACGAACGTCAGCGTGTCGGATCAGCAGCGATATAACCTCTTAAATGTCTCACGAGTAAGCGATCACAATGACCCCGAGCTCTTCAGCAGTCGCAATGACTACAGGCATTGCGACAGTAAAATATCAGGCACCCAAGCGAGTTGAAGAGGCAGCTTCACAAACCCTTGCGCGCCTCCTCTTCATAAGACCATAGACTGACCTCGATCTCAACTGCGGTGATCGGGTGAATCTGTCGAGGTCGTTAGCGAATCTATCACAGACTACGGTCGCTTATCTGAGAGCTACGAAACTTACAGCGTGCGCCTTGCGCAAGGTCTCCGCACGACACTCGGACATGCCAATGTGATCGAACTTGCCCTCCTCCTTGAGTTAGACAAGTGTCTTCATCGCTTGATCAAGAAGCACATTCGGGTCGACGCGAGCCGTTTCGAAGAGGTCGATCTTCTTAGTCCCGCGGAGGGCGGCCAGGCAGGCGTCCACGCTGCGGCGCAGGTTCTCGGCCTTGCAGATATACGCATACAGTTAGTGGACTTTGCCTTGCCTAGGGATCGGAATACACCGTACGAGCTGTCGGGAGTTAGTATGTTGGATTTCGTCCCCCCCTGTAGAAGGGCATAAACGCTAGTGTTCTACTATCCATTTTGTGCGGTCGAAGCTGACCTTGACCGAAAGGAAAGTCTTCTCCGCGTACTCAGGGTACTTGTCGTAGAACCGGGCGAGGAGTTAGAGGTTGCCGGTCGTGAGGCCCCTGGCATGAAAGTCGGCTGGGAAGCGTTTGGGAGATGGGTGGAGGAAAGCCTCGAGGGCACAGGCAGAACCCACCGCTGTTGAGAAACACCTTTACCCCAGGTGGCATTAAATCGACGGCCGGCTTGATAGCGACGAACGCGGCCTCTTCATCAGTAGAGATATTCGGGTCGCGGCTCTTGTGAAAGGCAATTTCTCAGTCGGCAGTCATTTGACCTTGTGAGAAGGACTCACGTCAATGTCATAAGGCCGTACTGTCGTTAAAGAAATCAGGATCGTTGCAGGTGGCAGAAGAACTCGTGCAGCACTTACGGCGACCTTCCCGACCGTTATGTTGGAGGCAGTCCCGCCGAGCTTGACAGTCTTGACGGACATACTGGAACGCGGCCAGTGTGAGGAAGCGTAAGAGGACTGAACCGTGGCTGTCAGATGGATGGTTAGTTGGACGAGGCACGGGTCTAATGCGATTTCCCATCGACCATCGGACCAGAGTGGGTCACTTCGTGGGGCATGACTTCACTAGCCACATTGAACGCCGTTGTACAGGCACCACCGTCGAGACCGACACACTTCGTCAGACGCCAATGTTGCCATCAGTTCTAGAGTCGCAGCGATGGACACTGCGCCCGTCCCCGCACGGGTACGGGCCCGGGATTTAGTCGTATAACTTGTGTATGAGAGACAAGGTTGCAGCATCGCTGCAGTGAGAAGGTCAGTTTCCCCGCCTAGCCGGCTACGACTATGGCAATGATCGTGGCCGGCCAGGCGGTAAAATCGACGTCCCCCTTGTTCACACTGTAGGGTGATTGTAAGATAGACTCAGAGGCAGTCACTGTCGCAGTATACTGACCTGCAGGAGGTCAGATAGGACAGCCTACGTACTACCAGTGTCTTTCGTGACTGGCTGTCCTAAGCCTAAGTGAATGCACGGACAGAGCAGCAAACCTGATCGAGTTTCCCTCCAAGCCGTCGGAAGACTCGTCAGCGTACAGCCTACTTATGACGAAGACCGATAGACTGGGAACAATCAAGAGATGTAGATGAATTAGCTGACATGTGGTATGTGTGCAGGGCAACAAATTGAGAGGGAAACCAGGTACGCGATACATTCCTGCTGCGACTGAGTGTCCGTGTGAGAGGGTTGCGATCGATACAGTACTGAGCCGGGGAAGAAGGAAGACTGGAGATGCAGAGTGAAGTTCACATTCATCCGATGCCCCAGACCTCCAGGCCAACGCACTCGAACGTGACAGCCTCGCCCCTGCGCGGCCCGGCCGAGCACAAGGGCTCGTTGTCAAATGTGAGACATCGCGCCGACGAGCCGTCGATGAGCGTGTCGTCGAGCCATAGACCGGAGCGGCCGTCTCTGAATTTCGAGCAATACGCGCAATGAGCCACAAACCGCAGCAAAGGTGGGACGCAAAGCTCACCCTCCACCAAACGAGATATAGTCCGGCTCGCACAACGCGACGTAGTCGTTCTTCCCGGTCCACTTGAACACGCGCACGCGGTCCTTTCCGACCGACTGCCAGAGGAACGACTCCCCGCTTCCGTAGTACGCGCCTTTCGACGGATGGATACCTTCGCCCATCCACGCGCCGAACACGCGGTCGCCCGAGTCGCGCACAACGACGAGTGCGCTGCCCTTGAAGTCCTGGCAGCGCGTGTAGAGCGTGTTCAGCGAGATTCCGTGCTGGTCGAGGCTGTAGAGAAGCGACCATTGCTTGGGCAGGCGCACGAGCGCTGGGAAGAATGGCCGCAGCTATGGGGAGTCCGATGTCAATTAGGCATATGAGACAGACCCGAGTGTGAGCTTACCATGTCCGCAATCTCTACTGTCAACACAGGAGTCGTCATCTCCCTTCGGCCTACCAGCCGCACGCTCTGCTTCTCTACTTGCGTCTTGTCGAACTCGAAGCCCTTATCCCACTGCCGATCCCCAGCGAACCCTGGTGCACCGGACGGCGGAACAAAGGGCTGGGATGCGAACGGAGACCCGTGCGTGATAGGGATAGTAGCAGGAGGAGCCGATTCAGAATGTGTCGGGGCGCGCGAGTGCGGTGCTGAGCGCGACCACGAATGGTCTTCCGAGCTCGGTCCAAAGAGGGAAGCGATGCTCGTTTCGGGAGGCGGTGTCGACGGAGATGTACGTGTCCCTCGGATGGTGGATGTCAGGAGGCTGGAGACCCAGCGCGTAGGAATCGATGGCGGAGTGAAGTATGACGACTGCGCGTGTTGGATCTCCGGGTCGGAAGGGCGAGTCGGCGTAGACGGAGCAAGAGTTTGGGAGCGTACTGGGGACAAGCTGACGAGATGGTGCGGGCTCGCCTGCGCACGCTGTCGCGCACCATGGTCGCCTTCGCGAGCATCATTCAGGGGGTCAAGATCAATCGGGACCGACCGGCTAGGAGCGGGAGCTGGGACTGGAGAAGTGACCGACACGGGACCTGTGTGGGACGCGAGGGCATCGAACGATCTCTGCGCGTCGGACGGCGAATCAAGGTCGATGAGGGAATCCTCGTTGGACCGTAGGTCCGTCCGGGAAGCATTCTGGGACGACTGCGGGGTTGAGGATCCTGAAGCATTGACGGTACTCGTACCTTGCAACCAGTACAAGGGATCATCCTCGTGTTGTAACAGCTCGTCAAGAACCTGGCTCCTCCTCTGTTGGGAAGCCGCCTTCGCGTCCTCTGCGAACTTGTCGAAGAACTCGGACTTGTGCAACGGGGTGAACGATGGGGGCCCTGGACCACCCCCCAGCCGCAGAGGATCCTCGGTTGCAGGTACGGAGACGAAGGCTCCGAACTCGGAGTCCGTAGACTCTTGTCGGGCATGCCTCGCGGGTCGACTGTATGTCGGCTCGGGGGTTCTTGATGGTGATGCGCGAGGCGTTGGAGGGGAGAATAGGCTTGCGAATACGTCCTCCTTCTCGTCTCCTTTCTGCACCGGCACAGGTATTAGAGGAGGGATTTGTCCCGGCGATCGCGCAGACGATCCATCCATATCGCTTCAGATTTGCTGGTCGTCGTACGCCCAGAGAGATGTATCGTAAAAATCGTGAATAGCTAGGTCATGACGAGTGTGAGGGGAGGATTCAACGTTGCTACGCCCAGAATTGCCCAAGTCATCCAAGCGCGCGTGCGGGCCCCCATGGCGCGTGTTGCATGCTGCCGGAGCTCCGATACATTGATTCGTACTCTATTGTCAATTCCCCACTCCCAAGCTTCCTATCGACTGGCATTGGCGTTCAGCAGCTCATCTTCGTGATGAGATATAGCGGGCTGCCTAGGATTAGGATCCATCCAGTCACTATTTGCTTAGCTGCCCTCGGAGGCTAACAGGACCTGCATCAACATGAACAGGCGCTATCAGATATTAGAGCTAGGTACGAACCCGAGTTTCAAGTCGTTGCACAACGAAAATGACGATCCTCGGAGATCTGGACACAGAAGGTAATGACGGGGACACCAAGGGGAACGGGACCAGTGGGAGAGATCATCGACAACTTTAAGTCCACCACGATCGCGCCAGCCTCGCCATGTCATCTCTCGTTTGCCTCGCCTTGATCCCGTGTTGCCGATATAACATGATCCTCACTGAGTATTGCTGAGATACTTCTTTTCTTCGCGCCTATGACCACCATACTGGATCCTCCCAAGAGACTCTGGAGAAGGCGTTACTATGTCTACCCCCCCAATATCCGGGGCCATTTCGTATATCGCTCTCCTCGTCGCGCCATCCATCACAAGAGCCTCATGTCTCCCCGACCGATGCCGTAGCACTCTTATCATCATGGAGTGTATAGCATCAGACGACACCTTTCATAAATTATCTCGTCAGCCTGTTCCAATATGTAGACGATCTAAGTTCAATGAGCAGCTATGATTCAGCAGAATTCTGAATTAACACTGGCAGATTCCGGATGTGCGTCAACACCACAAGTACTCTCCAGTATTACTCGGTCCTCGGAATTACTAGTGCTCAAGGACCCATCACACACCCTCCAAGTTGTGCTTACATACGACCCGTCAAATCCTCGCCTTCACCCACACCGCAACGTCTTCCCCCCAATCCTCGCCATCCCCGCTCAGTAGTGCCCAATGCGGGCTGATGTGGTTATGTCTCTTCATAATCTCATACTGGACCTTCTTTCCCAGCCGCCCTTCCAGCGCCTCCACGAACTCGTCGTTCCCTTTCGAAATCGCCTCTGGCTCGTGCTCGCTCTTGAGCACGAAGAATTCCGGCAGGCTCTTGATAAGCTCCTCCGATGCCCGCTTGAGAAGCGTAAGCGGCATGTTCTCGAGCGCTGCCTCCTGTGAGCCATAGTACGCCTCGAGCAGGCCGGGCGGGGTGACCGCGTTTGGGAAGCTGAACACGTACGCACCTCCCGCCGGGAGGAGTCCGCGCGTCGCGGCTCGGACCGGCGAGTCGATCGGGAGCAGAGAAGGAGAGAGATACAGCGAGGCGACGTGGTTCGAGCCCGCAGAGTGGCCCATCACGAAGAGTGTAGATATGTCGGCCGTTGACGAGAGTGTACCATTCGAGGCGGAGGTGACAACTGAGGGGTTGGCGAGGAACCACGCAAGGGCGTCGCGGACATCCTCGACAGGAGCAGGATAGTTGACGGAGGGGTGCAGGCGGTAGTCAGGGATCACTGTCAGGATGCTGCATGTCACGGGGAGTTTGAGCGATGGGCTATTGTAGGTGAAGTTGGAAGTAGCGATATGGTTGCATACCCGCGTTTGGCAAAGAACACACCCACGTTGGTGTACCCGAGGTCGAAGGGTGGGGCTTGCTTGCGGTCGCCGCTGGTGAACCCGCCGCCATAAACGAAGAACAGGACGGGGATAGGACCTCCGGACGAGACTGCCGCGGGATCGGGGTAGAACACATCAAGCTACAAGTAAATCGTGAATAAATCGCGGGAATTGGGACATTGCGTGATGCAGGGGCTTACTTGGTGTCTGTCCGTGGTGCCAAACTGGAATGTTTGATGCGGATAGCCCTCGATTTCTGAGCGCCGATTCTCGAGGATTTTCGTGAAAGCATGCTTGGCTACGAATGGTCGACAAACGAATCAATCGTATCCCGAATAGGTTGCCTGAGAAGCTTACTGGGGCCGAGAATAACGGGAATAGTGGTTTCCTTGAACGTAGCAACGACATCCATGGTGCAAGATCTTATCAAGTGGACGGGAGGAAAGGCTCGGGGCGGGCGGAAGGTACGACAGTAGGTACTAGTCCTTCTGCGAGCATCCGCACAGACATAAGGATACACCGCTTCAATCCCTGGGTACGAATCAGCTAAGAAGGGCAGGATAGTACTCTCACAGTGCTCATTGCTTACCTGAGAGCGCAGCCCTGAGGGTGAGAGACCCCCTGATTAGGATTGACTACTGGTCATGGGATGGGAGTTTGGCTCTAGAAGGGCCTGTAGCTTCTCACAAGATCGGGCGGTCGCCCCGAAGGATCGCATATCCGCAGGGATTGGCTTGCGGCAGCTGACGTCTGGAACATCTAGGCAAGGGATTCAGCAGGCTGGCTGTGGCTGCTGCACTAAGACGTTCAATCTCAACCTATTAACGAAGACTTGTTCGGGGCTGCGGAGCGTCATGGCTCCCGCGAAGATGTCGTCTTAAGAGTACGATGGACATAGGAACATACCCTAGACCGGCCTGTAGGCGTGGGGGCGTGCCTGATAGATTGACGAAGCCCCCCTTGAAATGGGCAGATACGTACAGAACAAAACCCCTGTGTCCCACACCGAATGCTCACGCGTCCTGAACGTCATCATGGTTCAGGCCTGAACCATGATGAGATTAGAAGAGGCGGTAGTCGCTGGCACCGATGAGCACGTGGCGGAGACGGAACAGAAAGGACGGTGGATGGCAATTGTGAGACGGAGGGTGCGGAGGAAGGCCTCGGCGAAGGGTTGGCATAAGGCACGCCGTCCTTATCGTATTAGATCAGTGTCATGGAGGTGATGTGATAAAGGGCGAAAGGCGGACGGCCTGCGCTGACGCGTCGGCGGCGGTGCCAGTGAGGAGCGGGACAGTGGTCATCTTGACAGTCGACGCGTTCGCCGAAGCTTTCCTGAAGGGATTGAGAGACAAGTTACGAGTTCTTACATAGAAATGAGACGCACGGAGCGCAAAATACCCCGAGTCCGGTAGGAGCCCTTCTGGACCCCATGCTCCTCGGAACGAACAGTCTAAGCTCGCGTCTCCACACCCACCTTCACGGCGATCCAATGCGAAGGCATAGCTTCCTACCCGCGCACTCTCCCGTGACGATCGATACGACTCTGTTTCCATATCGACCGCGAACGAAGTGCGCTGGGTGGATGTACTGCTTGAGCATCCGCCGCAAGGACAAGAGAAGGAAGCGGTTTCCGACGCAACTGCGGCTCATAAGAGCCCTTTCTTCTTCGAGCATTCAGAAAGAAGGATGCATGACATGCGGCTATTGCGGGCACACCAATTTCCCTAGACCATGGAGTAGCAGTGGGGTCGCCTTGTCGTGAGAGCTAAGCTCGACTTGGACTTCCACCCTCGTCGTCGAAGAGCCTCTTGATTGCTCTCTTCTTCGCTCTCATCTACGTCCTCTTCGACCTCATAATGTCTGTCTCTCTTGTTGTCCTCACTGTCCTTGTGATATGCGGCTTGTCGACGCATCGCAGGACGCAGCTCGTCGTCCATAGAGTCGGGGGTACAGACCGCCAGTGGCTTCGGGAGGCAGGACTTCCATCAAGACGTCCTCTACATCGTAGCATCCTAAGAATCGCTGTCTACAACGTAGGCTCTGAAACGTGGTATGGCAGAAGCGGAGACCGAGAGCTAGGTGTGGCAGGCGTCGAGTAGAGAGACCTAAGGACAAGGTGCGTGCAGTTTGGCGCCACAACAATTGCAGGCGCCCTGGCGCGCGTCCCATGGGTCCGAGTCGTGTTCAAGATGCAGACAGGCCCGCTCCCATCTCGCTACCGGAGAAGGATTGGGGTCAATCATCACATGTGCATGTCTGGTGCCTTAAATTCTAGGGCCGGCAGCGACGACGACGCACGCTGAGGAGAGCGGCGGCAAGGATGCAGAGCGAGGACAAGCGCGGCTCGTACGAGCAATCACGCATGCGCGACATTGCTTGAAGGCGTTCGAAGGCTTCAGACGATGGGTCAGCGACATATCGAGCAAGGTGAGCAAACAGGATGGGCGGAGCTGGGATGGCAATAGCAAGCGATCATCAAGGACACGGAAAGGCACGCTAGAGCGACGGCCCGAGAATCGGTAGGTGATGCGATGAATTCCATGAAGTCGTCAATGAGTCTATTAGTACAGCCGAAAAGTCCATCAATGTCGTCAGTCGTGATGAGACATATAGTACAACGCTCAGATCGCAAACAGCTCCGTGTGCAGCGCGATCCCTCCGAGCTCAACACCCCTCGTCAGGCTGACCCGCGCGACCGCGTTGTGCGCCGCTCGCGTTAGCGACTCGGGGCCCGCGGCGCATACCCCCACACCACCACCAAGACCGACCCACTTTAATCGCGACGACGCAGAGATCTCGTGTGCGCCCTCGTCAAACTCGAGCGACTTGCTGTCTGAATCTAACGACTCGGACTTGCGGGACAGCGACGGTGGCGGGGGCGTGACAAGGTCGCGTAGGAGGGTGGTAACGGACGGGCGCGGGCAAACGGTGACGTCCATGTTGGGGATGGGCGGGACGTTTTCGGGGTTGCACAGGCAGGTGACGTATACGGAGATGTGGAGGTCGAGCGAGGTGTCCGCGACGGCGGTCGCGATGTCCATGAGCATCGGCGCGAACCAGTGGATCGCACCGTACGAACGGACACACCACGCAAACTCGATGCGCCGCGTCTTCTCGCCATTGGGTCGACCAAGCTTGATACAGCGTGCGACAATGTCGTCAAGCATGCCTAGGGTGAACGTGATACCGGAACCGCCGGCGACGAGCAGGACGCTCTCGTAGTCGCCGAGGTCAACACTCGAGCCGCCGTACGGACCGTCGATCATGACCTGGACAGGAACGCCAGGCTGCTCGTCCTTCTCGTGATTGCGTTCCTGCTCTGCGAGCGCGTACTGGTTCAGGTGGCGAGACCAATCACCAATAGCGCGCGCAGCGAGGGTCATCGTGCCGCCAGGTAAGCATGAGTTGGACGAGGGTGCATTGACAATCGTGAGGGGGTGCGATTCGAAGATGCGTCCCGAGAAGAAGACCCGGAGGCGCACATGTTGGCCAGCGACCCAGCCATCGTCGCAATCATGGACGTGAATCTGATGGAGAGAAGTCAGGGCCCAGGACGGTAAGCTCGAGCGTCGGATGCACTCACCAGAGTCATGTTATTATCAACATGAACCAGCGTTGCGTCCTTGATGCGATAGCGGAACATACGGAGGAGTATGTCAAAGCCGTAAAACGCCAATGGCGGGAAGATCCATGGAGAAGCGTAGATTGTATGGTAGCATATGGTCACGAAGAACGCAACATAGCCGAGTACACTAGGCGAAATCATCAGCTCACGGATCTGGATTCTATCAATGGGTACTCACTGAATGATGAAGAACGACTGATAGAACAACCTCCGGATCGGACGGAACGACGTTAGGACAAGGACGCAAAGGACACCATAGGCAGCAACGCCTGATGTTTCTTTCTGCTGACCAATAATAGGTAGCCCAAACACAATGTGATTGTTAATCCATAGGGCTCCGTGAACGGTCGCACCGATGAACATTCCACGGCCGGCCCATCGGTGAATGTAGTTGAGTTTCTCATAGCCGTTCCCGGGCCCGAGTAGTAGGGACAGGATCGAGTTCTTGGTTGCAAATAGGAAGACGATGGGGAACTGGGCGAGAGCCAAGAAGCCTGCCCATTGATAGCGAAGTGAGGAGTTGGGCGCGAAGAACCCTGAGCGAGAACAACTCACCGGCGCGATTGGGATTGGTGATAAGAGGTACATGCATAGTGATACATGCGATGAGTAAGATGAGGTATGCGGCAATCACAATCACTGCGGGTAATCCATGAGCTGAAAGGTATGGCACGGAAGACGAAGAGTAACGCGCTTTGCCCCATGCCCAGCTCGAGACCAGGTAGACTCCACAGTGTAGCCGACCAAAGAGTTTCCCATATTGCGGAAAATGGTCGTCTCGAGGATCTAGGCTCAACATTCGCACTGCCCACGGGCGTATAACCCCGAGTCTTGGTGTCTTCGAGGACGCCAGTAATGAGGCCGCGGAGCAAGCGCCGGGTCTTGAGTGCGCGTGCGACATGCGGGATGGAGACGAGGACGGCCAGGCCGATGCCTGCAGCCCAGATGATGGAGAATTTGCGTTGCCATTGAGGGTCCACTACATAGGAGCTGTGGTATTGCAGACCGTTAGCGAAGGGGTTCGAGGAGTAATCTCGGAATGTGAGCGCACTTGTACTGCTGCAACTGGGTAGGGATAACGGGAGGAGCCCCAAAGTCGGACATGGCAGACTACGTGGTGATCAAAACCTGGCTTCCAGTGATTTATGGAGGTCAATGTGAATGGAAGTGCCTTCAGGGCTGAGGAGCTTGAGTATTGAGGGACACTGGGGGGGTCGTCGCCTACGGCAGGATGGATATCGCGCTACAGTATTTGTCCGGACCAAATACAGGAGGAAAAGCTTTTTTCATCCCATCTCCCAGGGACAAGCGCCGACTGACAGGGTGCTCCCGACGAAAAGTTTTTTAACCTCATCGCTGGGACCCTGAGAGTGTGTGGCGTCCAGGGCTCAATCTCCGGAATGCGTGTCTACGGATCGTGCATTTTCGACTCGTCCGCAGCTCGCTCAGCCGTTGTGATCGTGCACTTGTCTCAGCCACTCAATCAGAAGGCCTCTTCACGGGCACAGATATGTCGTGCAAGATGCCTACGAATGCTCTCCGAGTGGACTCATATGCTCTCACGTCGCTCGTGTTGTTGGCCAGGCACGGACGAGTCTTTTGATGTCACTTGGATCACTGCGATTGCCCTGTGGCTACATATACACTGCCTGTGTCCAAAAATTTCGGCAGCTGGGAGTGTCAGGTTGCTCGTTGGGATCTCGCCGAGTTGTCCACTGGAACCATACAACGAAATTATGCCAAATAATGCAGATGCTGCGCAGTCAGTACACGCCGGGACACGCTGCTGCCTCATTGCTCATGAGGCATGCCCCGTTGGCCCGCAGACGCCGCATTGACGTGGACGCGTTCTGAGTGACTGTATATGTCCTTCTGATCACAATGTGGGTTGTCGTACCAAGCAACTGGATCTATGACAGCAGCTCCGTGGACGACGGCTGTTCACGGCATACTTGGCCGAGTGTCAAGTTTACTCTGCGCATGGCCATGCAGGTATTGTTCATGGCAGAATAGCACGTACAATCATTAGACTGCAACAATCACGAACCGTGTAAGCTTCGCTCGCAGTGACCGCAGATGAGTGTGCCTCCCTCCGGCTGACCTCCCTCAGCCTGAGCGCAACGTCTCCGCCGCCACACCTCCACCGCCTATCCCCTCGCCCTCGCCCTCGCCCTCGCCCTCACCCTCACCCTCACCCTCACCCTCGTCTCTGAACTCCGCTCTCAAGACCTCCCTCGCCTCCCCCAACGCCCTCCCAAGTAAGTTGAGGCCCCACGCCTCCCGTCCCTCCGCACTCCCACACGTCTCCAAGGCCTTCTTCTCCCCCATCCCGATGCCCCACACCCGATCCAGCGGACTCGCCTCTACCATCTCCTTCTCCCCCGTCGCGAGCAGCTCTCTCCTCAAGTCAGGGTTCTGTCGGAACTTGTGGAGCGTGCCCTCGAGGACGATCCTGGTGCGCTCACGCACCCACGTCGCCTCGTCAAAGTTCTTCACCTTCCGCCCGAGGGCTTTCACCTCCTTTGGGCTCGGAGCGCGGTGCTTCTTGGGAGATGCTTGCGCAGGCGAAGCGGATGCGGTCTTGGAGGGGCGGGAGCGCTTGCTCCGCCTCGGCCCTGCGCCCTCGGACTGGTTGGGAGAAGTGGAGGCGCCCGAGACCAAAGGGGGGCCTGCGATGCGCTCGAATATGTCTTTGTCCCCGAATAACAGCGCCTTCTGCGCCATCATCCAGTGCTCGGCGGTCGGAAAGAATACGTCGCGTTCTTCGTCGTCGTGGAGGGTAACGCGCGCAGTGAAGGGTGAGGGGTACCATTGCCCCGCCCAGCCGTAGGGCTGGTCGGGTTTCCAGAAGAATACGAAGTCTGCGGGTGTTGTGGCCATTTGACGACGGCGACGGCAAGATAGGTAGTCTTGCGGGTTCTCCAACAACTGCGAGCTTATATGTTCGGGAAGGTCATCTCGAGTCAGGCAGACACGACGTGCTCAAGTGACGTGCACAGCCTCGACGTCTAGGAACCGCGCTCGACGTCTAGGAGCCGCGCTCGACGTCAAGCAAAGAGTATCCACACATTCATGTTAAAAGCGTTAGTCTCGTGAACACCAGAAGTACAACAACATCGTGAACAGTCCTTGCGCTCAGACCGACGAGAAATCATATGTCAGAGGGGGGGACGCAAACGCCTAATGGTGGCCAGCATGGGCCGCATATCGCCCGAACAGCATCTCCCCAACACCCAGCCCGGCAACAATCGAGATGAGAAAGGCTGCTTGGTATGTCCTGGAGTTGACGTTGAGCACGACGACACCAAGAAGAGAACATGAAGCGTACGAACATTACGGCAAGCATTATCGTGAAGTGCATGAGCGCCTGAGCCGCGTGGATGATGCCCCTCGAGATATCGTGTGACGGGATGAAAGGGAGAGACCCGCGTAGAGTGGACGCATCGCGAATGCGTGTGGGGAAGGAAGAGCTTGACGGCTTCTCGCCCGAAGGCAAGATGTTGGCTTGATTAGCCTGAGCGATCTGTGCTCTACAGAAGCGTCAGCGTGAATCGATCAGGACGGCTTGAATGAGTATATTGGGCATCTCGGTCGATCGGCGAATAAAACGATTGGAGGTTGGAAAAGGAAGGAACAACGAAATGTCACAACAGATAGACAAACATACCTCTTATACCAGTGCGCCTCCATGACAGACCGCATCGCCGAAATCCACCTATCGACGAGGGCGCACAGGAACAGCCCAATGCAGGCGCCGGTCATAGCACCCTTCCCCGTCGGCACCCAACCGTAGAACCATAGGATGTCTCCTGGCCTAAAGTGGAGATACGGGAGCATGCTGCCCGAAGCGAGGCTCATTGCCCCATCCATGCTCATGTCCATGCCATTGTCTAGTGCGTATGCTCCTGATGCTAGCATAACGCCAGCGACCAGCGCAAGCAAGTAGAACGAAGGCTGAGAGGGCATTTCGTGGGTCGGTAGGGAAGCGGGATTGGGATGCGCACGGCGGCAAAAATGATAAGAGGTCTCGAAGTGTTACGTAATCAAAGCAAACAGACACAAACAACCTTGTGCGCAAGTGCACGAGGTGCCAGAGGCATCTTACCTTCCTGCCCTCGATAGACTCATCATTTTCCATCAACGCCCGCTGCTTCGATCCTCATCATGACTGGGTTGAATGAGTTGAGCGAGGGCCTCGTGGCAGCCGAGCAAGTGCACGGTCCTGGCAGTCTCCCGAGCTGGCATTGTTCCGTTGAACGGCATGTTTGGGGTGTGCGTTTCGGTTCCCGAGTCAAGGTACTCGTGAGAGGCGTTCTCCGAGTCAGAAGTGGACAAGCGCGTCCTGACCACAAGGACAGATGTCGCCAGGGGGACTTGATTGATGACCAGCTAGCGGCAGGTCACATGGACCCAGCGAGACAAAGTAGCCAAAGAGAGGGCAGATAGAAGCAGCCAGGAGTACTCATGGCAAGCTGTGATTGCGAGATGGATGAAGCCGCCGTGTTGACCGAGTCGGGGCTCGTCGCCGAGGAGACCAGTCGCAGCAACCGCGCCGGTAGGCCACAGGGAGGAAGGGGAGACAGCATGGGGACAGCACGAGTGGTCTCCGCGACGCGCTGGAAGACTTTAGCGCCGGGTGAGAGTAAAGCTTGAGGCGCCGAGGAAACGGCGAACGAAGCGCTTCGCGCAGCCTCGTGCCAGCAGGCTCCTCGAACACCTGTTGAGAGAACGTAAGGAGCGTATATGTGCCTCTTGTGACGGCACATACACAAACACGAGTCGGATGAGGACCGACGCCGAGCTTCGCGAGGGTGTCCTCCCACTCGGCGCGGTGTCGTGTTCAGGTCACGCACCTTGAATCCTCCGACTCTCTCCTCGCAAACAGCAGCATCATGAGCAAGCAGTCATCACCCATAGTTGATCCCAACCTCGCCAGCCCATTATCCCGCGTCGATCCGCTGCGACCGAAAGTGCGATCCCCCATCGTGCGTTAGACGGATCTGGACAACACAGAGCTTGGTGAGGATGCCTCCCACCCCGTGTCGTCCGCGAGTCCTACAGAAGTGCTTGGGTGCTGCTGTTAAGGCCAGCAATGAGGAAAGGAAGGTGGGAGAAGGAGAGAACGGGAAGATGCACGGGAGGGGGAGGGTGGAGAAGGATCAAGAGCAAGGTCGTCAGCGTGCGGCATTTTGGCGAGTGAGGCATTTCCCTCATTGGCCGGGGTGTGCCTGAGGGCTTTCCAGCGGAGACCGAACCTGGGGAGTCTGAGGCGGGCCAAAGAGATCAGGCGGAGCCCGAAAGGGCGGTCGGCGGGAAGGTGATCCGGGCGCGTCCGTAACCGTCACTCTTGCAGCGGAGTCTCGCTCGTGGTCGGTCTCCAGCTCGAGGACGGAGCGTGCTGCGTCCGTCGTCTATCCCTTCCTCCTCAGTATCGTCCATGTCCTCCACTCCTGCTCATCGTTCTAACTCTACAAGCTGTGCAAATCCACCTAAGTGGAGATCGTCCCTCTCAAGCCCGAAGAAGCAGAAGCCGGCAGCTAGTGTTTCGGTCGTATTCGCACAGCCAGAACCAGGCGCAAGGCTCGGGTCCGCTATCGACCGCCTGCCTGCCGTATCCATCGATGACGCTGCCAGCTTGCACAGCGTCGCTTCCAGAAAGCGCGAACGCTTGAATTCGAATGCTTCTAGCTTCATGAGCACAGAGGAACAGCGCAGCGAGCGAGCCGAGGGCCAGCTCGGTCAGCGGGATAAGAAGGGTGTCGAGAGGAAGCGTTCAAGGCTAACCGCTGATGTGCTCGATGATGCTCCTATCAAGGGTCCACTGGCAGCGGAGAACCGAATGCTTTCCGCAGACGCTCCAGGTATGTGCTTCTCAGCTATATGGGTGACTATCCGAGCCGGATTGAACCTGTGGACGAGTCCATTGTCTCTCCTGCGGTTCATGAGATACACAATATTCTATCGCTATCATCGAGGTCTCTGTGCTCTGGAAGGACAACGAAGCAGGCTTAGGAATGATGGTGGTCACCGTGGACAGTCATCGAGCTCGGACATCTCAATCGCTCTCGGCGTCATGATTCCAGTTGGAGGTGCTGGACGTTGTTTGACGTGGTCATCGTGTGCCGCCTCCTGTTACTGTGGTCTCAGGTTACTGAGCAGCCGACGCGAGTCCGCATGCCAAGTGATATGGCCGGATTCCTCGCTACAGCCATACGTGGAGATACGAGATACTTCGATGGCGGCGCATTCGCGTTCGATTACCATGTGAAGCTCAGAAGACACATAGCGGATAGTCGCCAGCCTAACAACAAACGTGCTAACTCTTCTGCTCTCCAATCCAGGATCAGCATCGAACCCTGTAGACCTTACGGAGTCTCCGAAGCCCATGGACACTTCTCTGCCCCCATCAGCCCAGCCAGACCAATCGAAGTCCGAAGCCCAGGCGGAAGCGGATCCTCAAGCACAAGTCCTATCTCAGGTTCAGTCGCAGCCGCAAGAAGGAGCAGTAGTTGTGCCCTTCCCGACCGCGGATCCGCAGAAGACCATCCGCGCCACCAAGTCTACCCCCTCGCGGTCTTCGTGGTTCGGCTTCTCTCGCACGAAGACCAGCGACGACCCGGCCGATTCGCAGACTATCGCGGCGCAGCCGCAGCCGTCCGAATCAGACACCAGCGCCGCTCCCTCGTCTGGTCTGGCCGCTTCCTCTGCCGAATCGCCTGCGCCCGCACTCGCTGTGCCCATTCCCCCAGTTGACGTGTCAAATATCCCGATCCAGGCAGTGGACCTGTCCCCATCCCCACTGCGGGCAGCGCCTGTCCGCTCGCCCCCACGTGATATTCCCTCATCCCCATCCACCACCAAGCCCTCCCCGATGGGCTTCTCCCCCCGCCAATACTCCCCTCCCACGCCATCATCCCCCGCGGACAATCTGAAGAGCGCAACGACCTCGATCTCGTCCGTGGACGAGGAGGTGCCCCGCCTCGCTGGCCTCGGGCTCGGGGGATTCGAGAGCAGCGCGCTGACGATCACCCCGCAACACCCCATGGCCGTTGTCGAGTCGCAGGACGCGGGCTCGAGGGCGGGGCGCAAGCCGAGTGTGTCGTCGCTGAACCCGAGCACGAGCCGTTTCACATTGCGACTGCCGCTGCTGGGGCGGCCGAAAGTCCCCCTGGAACAGGCGGTGGCGAGTGCGCAGGCGGAGGATATCAGGGGGTCGTCCGATATGGGTGACACGGCGAAGGGCGATGACGGGGGGAACGGTATGTTCCTGATTCGAATCACACTATTCTTCTTGCGATTCTAACGCTAGTTGTACCTGCTTGTAGCTTCTGAGGGCGCTGCCAAGGATGCATCCGTTTCGAACGAGGATAAGGATAAGATCGGCAATGATGGTGCGCCCGCTGCGCCGCAGATTGTCAACATCATTCCACCTACCCCGGGGACGGAGCCTGCCGATCAGACTGCTGTGCAGGAAGGTCACGATATGGCCAGGGCCAGGGATGACTCGGGGAGGGTCTCTACCTCACGTCCGGCCTCGTGGTGGGATTACATCGGATGGAATGGAACCGGGCACCCTCCGGATGGGCATCACAAGCCGTCACAAGACAGCAAGGAGTCCGAGGATACGAACGGGGTTGTGGAGACGAAGGACGACACGCTTGCTAGCACAGAGGCGCAGATAGCACAGCCGGCCGAACAGTCCTCTATTCAGAGTCCTGAAACCTCCACGGCAAAATCCCAGGACGCGCCAACGAACCCGCAGCGAGACGGCGACACATCTCCGCCGACGCAACACGATCCCCAAGACGCGACGTCTGATAAGAAGCCCTCGTCGATCCTCTCAGCCGAGACCGTAAGGAGCCATGGCGCATCGTGGTATTCTCCTTGGGCGTGGTACTACTCCGCCAACGCGTCCGACGTCGACGCTACTCAGGCTTCTGGTGAAGGCCCTGCTGCGAAACCCACTGACACGCCGCCGAAGACCGACGCCGAACAGATCAAGGCGGATGCGCTCGCCCGCGATCAAGAGCAGAACGCTCAAGCTCAAGCCCAAGCTCCCCTTGCGGTCCCTGCAGAGTCAGAGTCCCTTGCAACCCAACCAGAACGCGATGCGACGCCCGAGCCGAGTAATCCGATTCAGTCATCTGTGACAGAGAATAAGTCTGGATGGATGTCTTTCTTCATGTCTAAAGCTCTCACGACCAAGATGCTCTCAGAGACGGCGTACGACAAGCAGGAAAATGGCATGGAAGTCATGGAGATTGACGATGATGAACCTGATCCGTCGGTCGCAGTCGAGGTGCCTCTTGGCGACGACAAGACGGCAGCGAAAGCGAAGGACATTCAAGGACCATCCAAGGAGAAGCCATCTCCGCTCCTTCTCTCCAGCTCCCCGAAGCCTTCGTCCCCCACTCCATCCTCCTCCATCCCAAGATCTCCCAAGGCGCCGAAGTCTCCAACGACCAAATCCCCACAAGTCCCCACGAAGGAGCGGGAGCCGAAGAAACCCGAGGCCAAGAAACCCGAGTCCGCCCCGCCTCTGACGGACTCCGATTCCATCAAGCGCGAGGCGCAGCGGGCTCCGCGCGCGCCCTCCCCGGCCCCATCCAAGGCTTCTGCAGCTACGACTCCGCCAGGTAGCGCGAAGCCGGTGCAGCCGAACTTTGTCCTCCCCACGTGGGCAGACACGTTCCACACCCCGCCTCGAGCGTACCCCCTGCCAACGCGCGCCCCGAGCGCGAAATCAAAGCTGACGGGCGCGCTGTCGTATGTGGCGGGGGCGCTTTTCTCCGGCGGAGACGCTGCCGGGTCGAACAGCGCCAAAGGTAAAGGTAAAGGGAAGGCGCGGGCGAGGGCGCGGAGCGTCGACAAGGATCGCAGGGATGCGTTCGGAATCTGGCCTGTGACAGCATCCTCGCCACAGGCACAGACTGAGTTCGTGGCGTATGGGCAGGAGCTACCGAAGGCGCTGGACGTGGTGGGCGAAGCATTGAACCCGTACATACTCAATGGAGGGTGCAGGGTCGTCGTGATCGGCGTCGCTGGTTGGTCGCCTGGTAAGTGTGTTTCTTTGTGGCTTCGGTCCTGTTCTGGGCCTCTCCGACTCTACGCCACTGGTCAGCCCAGATACACTAGAAGTCCTGCCCGATCTTTGCCTTGAGATTGGCTTGGTCAGAATGGTATTTGGTATATCGGGTATATCGCGCTACCAGTGGTCGTACTGTATCAGTTGACGTGTGGTCCATGGATTGTGGAATGTTATCCTAGTATGGCATCACGTGCGGAGACCGGAACTGATCTTCTATTTGCTTATTGTAGGTGCAGTGACACGGACGCTTGCTGGAGGGGTGAGTTCTATCGACCGAGCCATGACCTCGCTTCTAGCCTTGCTGACGAATGCGTCCATGTGTGCGCGTGGTTGCCGTTGTGGCTGTGGTCCTGGTGTTCTCGGTTCGAGTACAGCTCCCGTCTTCGAGCAGTAAGTTCGTCAACATGACGGTCCAGGCACTCGAGCAGTTCGCGGAGGAGGGCGGCTTCAAATTCAAGAAGATTACGCCCATGCCACTCGAGGGGGATGGCACTATCCGTAAGAAGGTCTCCAGGTTAGTATATGGGTAGATTGTCAAATGTCAAGACTAGTGGACTTTTCTGACGCTCCGACCTGGCGGCTTCAGGGTTTACAACCACCTGCTAGAGAACGACGAATGGATGGAGGACTTGCACGCCGCCGACGTTATCTTCGTCGCCAGTCATTCGCAGGGCGCCGTTGTCTCTACACATCTCCTTGATCGCCTGATAGAAGATGGACACATTCTGACTTCACGCAGTGTGGAGACTCTGGCGAAGACTGCTGCTTCGATCTCTGCAGGTGGTGCTGCTTCTATCCCTACAGCTCAGGCACAGAGAGTTTGTCTACTCGCGCTGTGTGGTGTTCATTTGGGGCCTTTGCGATACCTGAAGACCAGTTCCCTGCTGCAGCAGTACGTTCAGGTGAGCCCCTTTGATACATTTAAGTGAATGTGATGCTAAGGTGTGTCGTCAGTACGTGGAGAACGCTGCCGCCCGAGAACTATTCGATTTCCAGGTAGGTTTCTGGTCTTTGACATGCTGACACGAGCATCTTGACACTGACTTCGTTCTATCAGGACACGGAATCTAAAGTGTCGAAGAATTACACCGGTGCCCTTAGAAACGTCCTGGATCACGGCGTAAGCATCTTCCTAAACTATTGCGGAAAGCTTGCTAACTCTGTCACAGGCCAAAGTCGTGTACATCGCATCATTGAACGATCAAGTCGTACCTATATATTCCGGACTATTCACTGCGGCATCTCATCCTCGTATACTGCGTGCTCTATACATTGACAACGATGCATATCAGTACGTGCCGTTTGCGACAGACTGGTCATCAAGAAGGGAAGCTGATTTAACCACCGGCCATCAGCTCTTCTGACTTCCTTTCTAACCTATTGATCCTTCTAATCCGCATACGCAACGCGGGGCTGTCAGATCGAGGTTTGCTTGCGCACTTATCGGAAGCAACCGCGGGGACGCTCAACGGGGTCGGACACTCGACCGCCTACGAAGAGCCTGCGACATATACGTAAGTGTGACAACATATCACTTCTCGTCCTTCCCTCATGCAACAATCTATCAAGTCTTGCGGTGAAGTACTTCTTCATGACCAACGATGGCGCCAACTCCGACGCGGAACTTGTAATCGATCCATTCAATGCAGTGGAGGAACAAAACGATTACGAGGTAGGCTGCCGAGAAATGATACTTCCTCATCTACATATGTAGACATCCAGCTGATACTTCGTTAGATCCCATGGCTGCTCCGCGATATGATCGCAGATAACAAGATATCGTACTTCTTCGCACGCGAGTTCGCGCAGTTACGAGACGCCTTCAACGACTGGCAGCCTAAGACAACCATTCTCCGTGACGTGAAGAAGAAGCTGCAACCAATCACACGGTTGTCGACAACCGCCCCGCAAACGTCTAGTTCTATAAGCAAGCTCTGATGTCCGCCCAATGCACTGCTATTGTGCTCCACACACTCCCGATACATCGTACCGAGTCGCGGACATTGCCAGAGGTGTAGAGAGCGCACGGACTTTCATGCTCGATTTGATTTCATTGTGGGACACAATCATGTATAGCACGCTGTAGAAATTTTCATGTAGAGTACATCAACAATCGGGTCCATAGTTGCACTGCTACCTTCTGTCCGATGCAGGCCTGCACTAACTGCGTCGCCAGCGATGCACATCGTTTGGCGGTACGAGATCGCGATCATCAACATTCTATAGTATACACATTCTGCAATAGGAAGAGCACCTCCGAATCGTACAGACATCAGACAGCCAACTGACTATAGTGGAAACGGTTCTCCACTGCGCAAGAAGCCACGGTCGCAGTTGCGTGCTCAGTACTCGCCCTTCTGACGATACTCTGCGCCGCAGTCGCCGATTGTCATGATCATCGTGCTGCTCTTAGACAGCTTCAATACTGCCTCGATGTCGGCCTTGTCTCCGTCTGTGAGCGAGAATGTGAACACCTTCGCGTTGTCATCAGTGTTGTCGCTCAAACCCAGTCGTGCTCCTGATGAAGATAATCATGGCCGACATCAGCGATAATGGATGGCCCCACGAGCAAACGCTCAAAGGGGAATTGTGTAGTTTACCTATGAGGACAGCGCCAACGAACGGGTGTTCAAGGACCCAGCGAATAGCGACGTTCGCAATGCTCACACCACCATGGCGGTCTCCGATATCGCGGAGGAGCCTTAGCAGTCTTTGAAAGAGAGCCCAGTCTCCCCAAGCCTTCAGAATCACATCGAGATACTATTAAATGTGGCGTGTGAGCTTCGCAGGCAGGGCCTCGTGAGATAACCGCCTGAGACGGCAAGTGGGTTACCTTTCTCTGAGAGGGATTCAATTGACCTGAGTACATCTCTGGCTCGGGTTTTCCGAGCCACCGGTCGGTGAGAAGCCCCCCGCACTGTATCCGCGACGATGTCATGATCTGGTTGAACGTATACTAGACGTAAGGCTGTCCTTACCAAGGTGCCGTATGCCAAAACCTTGAAGCCGTACCTGGCGCACAGGTCGTTCATCCCGTGGAGGGGCCGAACGTCGATGATCGAGAACTAGAACATGTCAATGTGTGCCTCAACACAGTCCGAGACATCACGCGTACCGCGACTTGGTTGGAGACTATGTACCCAGGGCCCAATTCGACACAGACCTCCTCTGTCCTCCTTGTGTCGAAGTTGCACAGCCCCAGATTACGTATCTTCCCCGCCTTGCGAAGCTGTGCGAGATATTGCAAAGCAGTAATGTAACTCCTGTCCTGGTAGTCCTGCCAGAAGAACTGCCACCGCCCGAAGATATTAATCATGCCACCGCAGTGAACTGAGGCCGTCTGCATACCTGCAGAAGATCAACACGATCCTTATGCATCCGGTCGGAACGCTCCTTGACAGCGGCAGCGACCTTCTCGTAGGTTATTTCGGTAGGATGGAATATGCACCACTTCGTGGCGCCGAATGGGCGGGGATTGGTATCAGCAGGGAGATTGGAAACGAAAGTGCCCTGGGAGGCCGGCGTCAGCACGAGACCTTGAAGCGCCAAAGATTCCGGACTGACGAAAAGATCCTCAGCAGGTCCATAGTGGTCCGCTGGTCGAAGCGCCGTCAGGCGCTGGTGCGATGATAGGACAGAGAACGTACCCTGGATATGTTGACGACAACAGATCATGTTTGTCAGATACGAGTTACATCCAATCGTCACCGACCTACCATGTCTGTCAGGTCGTGGTCAGTCGTCTGTGACGGCCACAAGGGTGAAGTGCGGCTCACCAAACGCGTAGAAACCTCTTGCCATAGGGGTAGTCATAGCATCACGGACTCTTTGTGCAGGAGCGCTGCCCCATGCGTTGCTGGACAGCTGCCAAAGACCGACCCAGATGCGTGGAAGCGAAGTGGCTGGAGATAACATGAACTGATTGTCTCCCTCCATGTCTTTGCGTGTGGCTGGTGCTGTTGTTGAGACATGCTGCCCCACCTTCGACCGCTTTATAGTGAGGTCGGCAAGTAAACGAATCCCGTCGTGTGCTGCGAGGAGTACGAGAATGCAAAGCGGAGAACCTGTAGTACACCGACCCGAAGGGGCCTACGGGAAGTGTGGTAGGCCAGTTGCAGGCCGTGAAACACGGCGGTCAATCTGGTTAGCGCGCGGGAGCATCAAGCGCTTAGAACCTAACTATCCAAAAACTCTGATCAGGCCATTTCCGCGCAAGGACAAAGAAAGTCACTTTTACCGGCCGTGGCCTTTTTGATTGATTTTAACACGAGTTGAGGTATAAGAGGCAACAAGCTTTGGACATCGACCGACAGGGCAGCCCCTCTATCGACACAATTAGCGACTCACCGCACCCGGACACCGCGATGCCCAGCACCGAACCTTCCGCCAGTCCCGTCGGGCCACGTACCGCGGGAGACGCTCGTCCGGTACTAGGGCATGTGTGAGTGTCGCCGGAGGGAACTTTCATTATCCAATTGCTGAAACGACATCCTCTTGCAGGAACCTCATGGTTGACACTCTCATCGCCAACACGAACCTTGAGGAGTAAGCAAGTCGCCGAGACCCGCTCCGGCTCTCGTCATGGCTGACAGCACTTTTTCACTTCGAATCGCAGCCTTCGCGCGATTGTGCGCGGTATGCTGGCCACGAGTCCCCCTTCTGTGGCCCAGGCATTCACATCAGCGGCGAGACAGCGGCTGCTGCGCGTCGACGCGACCGCGATCCCTGATACGACAGGGATCTTTGTTGCCGGAGAGGGGGACAAGACAGCAGCTCCTACCGAGAAGCTGCACAACATCCTGATCCGCATCCGCACGCTATACGGATCCGGCTTGGGATTCGCAAGCCTGAGGATCCTCACGCGGGTCATCAGCGCAACGGTCAGGCTGCGATGGGAGGACGACAGCGAGATGGAGGACGTGCTGGCGAATATCGACGCCGACATCAGCCAGGCGATACAAAGTTCGAAAGAGGAGCTTGACGGAGGACGAGTGGCGGACCTCCAGGGGGCACGAGAGGTGGTACAGGAGCTGCGGTCGGCGGTGCACGAGAGCCAGATAGACGTCAGAAAGTGGGATGGCGCGTTTCCGTTCGAGCGCGCAGCGTCTAGCTTGGAATTCTGGAGGATTTAGGTCGAGGTTTAGTTCGGAGATACGATGGCGAAGGATGTCTTGGAAGCGTGTAATCCGCCTTGCATTGTACGGATAGCGACTGTTGTGAAACAGGATTAGGCTCTTATCCCCGCAGAGTTCAAGCTGACATCCCGTGGGTATCCGTTAACCCCAAACAGGAACCCCGCCCTGATACGTCCCCCCTTATCCGATGCGCTCGGTCTCTTGTCTAATCGCCGGCCAACCGACGCCCAAGGTCTCCTATGGTCTCCTATTGCGCATCCATGTGGTTGAGGAGCCAGATGTGACCGTCATGAGATTCACGAATACGTCCGCAGGTAGCTAAGTTGAACGCCGGCGATCAGTTCAAGTGGTCTCGCTCACCGGACAGGGTCTGCTTGAGAAACTTGTGACGGCAATAGAACTTGACAGCGCCCAAGTCTTCCTGCCGCAATCCGTTGTGCGAGTGCGGAGTTGGGCGCATCAAGACATACACCATACGCGATAGGCACACAGCGTTGTCGAAGCTAAAAAGGCCACGACGCTAGGCTTACGTGCTCGTCGTCCCCGGAAAGAATGCGTCCGCTAAGTCAGGTGTCCCGACCGCCATGGGCAAACAAAGCACTGACTGAGCACGCACGACAAGGTACTGCAGATAGCGTGAGCCCTGATCAGATGTATATGTCCAAGACACATACCATCGAAGTTACTTCATGTTGCCGTCAACGCGTCATCGACACCCGGCGCACGCTGAACAGTCTATAAGCCGTCGTTCACTCCGCTAAGCCTTCATCTGAGTCTGGCACACCTAAAGCGTACATATGAAGCAGCTGTCCTGACCTCCCAAGGCAGCTTCCTGGTCCATGACCTCCCGGACAGCACCGTCCTAGCGCCTCGCCTTCTTAGAGCCCTCGCTAATACCGTCCTCTCTTGCCCGCTTTCCCACTTTCACCTTCTCGCCGGTGTCTTTCTCTTCGGGTCCCTTTGCTTTACCCTTCTCGCGCAGGTAGCTCCAAACCAAAGTATCTCCGTACGGCGCCTCGAAGTGGTCGAGCGCGTCTGGAGGATAAAACCAGTAGTTGAACGCCATATGGACGTCAGCCCCACTGTTGTGGCCATGGCCAGCTGACGGTGGGGCGGAAGTCGAAGTGACCTCGTGCCACCACGACGCGGGCAAGTAGAGCATCTCCCCAGCGGAGAGTTCGACCACGTACGGCGCCGCCGCTTTCTGAAGAGCAGGGAACGTCGAGGCAGAGAAGTCGGGGGGTATGGCAGCTGTCGTCGGGATGTCGAGATACCGGTGCAGATGGGCAGTTGGGATGCGAGAGAAGGACGATGGCTCACTCGGCTGACCATTGCTTTCGCCATCGCCCTGCTCGTCCTCGTCTTCGCTGTCGTCTGAGTGACCGATGCCTTTCCATTCCGGCCACTTGTTTTCGTCGTTCTCGTCATCCTCGGCCTCGTCTTCGTCATTCTCCTCGTCAACTGCGGCAGCTAGTCCAGATGAACCGGCGCCGAGGTCGTCAGTTCCGTCATCCAAGTCGCCCATGAGGGCATCGAAGTCGTCCACCTCTTCTGCTCCTTGCTCATCCTCTAGCGCAAGCATGGCGAGCTCGTCAAGCGCCTCGTCATGGGCGTTCATCAGCGCTTTCATCTCCTTCGACTGCGTTCTATCCTTGCCCTTGCCCTTGACCTTCGCCTTGAGCGCATCGATCTTGCGCTCGAGAGCGTGCACGCGGGCCTTGCAAGCAGCGCGTTTGGACAGCCCATCGGAGCGCACAGGTATGTCCGCGTACGAGATGAGGCCGTTCGGGTGGAGAGTGTCGAGGGTGCCGTAGGGGTAAAGGTGCTTAACCTCCGCCGGCGGGAACAGCACGAAGCGCTTGCTTCCCTGGAGAAGGCAGTACAAATTGTCGTGGAAGTCATGGTGCTGACTCGGAGGCAATGCACACCAACGCAGCGGATCCGAGTAAGGAAGAACGGTGCGTCAGCAACCGGTGTTGTCCACGAGATGCTACCGAGATGGAAGGACACTCACGAGACCGGACGAGGAGCCGTCTTTGGACTTCCCGAGCCAGAGGTTCACTTGCTGGAGGAAGAGGTTTCCCATGAGGCGAGGCACCATCGGGAACTCGTCTTTGAGCGCATTGGTCGGTGGGGGGAAGACGGTCTCTGCGTCTGAGTCCTCTTCTGAGTACTGGGTGGTGAGGTACGGGTGTGGTCCGTCGTCGTGGCGCAGTTTCTCGAGGAAGTCCCGGAATGTCATCGGCACCCTCTCGACGTCGGTGCCGTATTGATTGGCCGTCGGGTGTATGGGCTCGACCAGTACCTCGACATCACCGGCCTTCTCGGAGAGGTAAGAGAGATCTGTCTGATCGGGCATGAGATAACGCGCGACAGACTCAGGTACTCCAGGGCCAAGGCACGTACCCACTTGCGACCTTGGAACGAAGGATCGTCCAGGAGCCCACTGATGATGACCGGTCGACGCTTTGAGACGTATTTTGTGAAGAAATCTTGGGCTGAGGTGCTAGGGGCGATGCGTTCGAGCTTCAACTTGTCCGGCATCGCTAGTGCTGTTTCCCGATTTACCCACTTAACCACTTCCTGGAGCAGTACCAAGTCGATGAAAATTGCCACTTGCCGACCTCGGTACCTGTTAGAGCTTGATTGTAATCGTGGGAACCCAAGCGTTTTATGTACTGTCTTGTCCGACATAACGGCAACTTGGAGCATTAGTTTGACTTACTGCTTTCTCCAAGCTGTAAAGAGCACACGCCTTCCTATACGTTGATTGTCGTGTGTTGAAGTCAAGTAAAATGAGCATGCACAACGCGAGAGGTTTTAAGGCCAATAAGAGTACTAGTCTGCGTTAGTCGACATGTCTTACCTCCCGTACGTATTTACGGAACTCGCTCTGTCCTCTACTTATCTCTATGGTCCCAGGTCCCATGCATGAGTACGCGTCGAATTTCTTTGAAGAGCTCAGTACTTGGTGCACTCGTACAACCCGCCCCTTCGAATCCAACCGTAAATAGCTTGATCAATCTGAGACGATAAGGGGGGATAACTACCGTGCCTGTCGTTAGCCGACCAGAGTCCGTCGGCACGCGGGGCGTACCCGAACGGGAACCAGTCCGTCTACAACGCCGAGCACGACGAGCTCGCCGTCTCGACAAACATCGCAGCATCCGACTTCTGTGCTCTCTACGCTTTGTCCTCGCTCTGTATTGCCGGCCTTCCCGCGTCTTCCATTACATACGTCGGACGCCGCGCAACACCTCATCCGCCTCGCCTTCCTAGCATGTCGATTGCTAGCTGAATCTCCCACATCTTAGGCTGCTCTCCAGACTTATCTCAAGACGACGGACCGTGATCACCATGGCAGATACACAGCGAGCTTCACAGATACCTGTGATGTCCCCACGTGTGTCTCACAGTGGCAGCAGCTCCTTGGGTGGATTGCCTTCGCCTCATCTTGGCCTTGTCCCCCCGTCTCGGTATCCCTCTGTGAGCGGCAGCCCAAGCCTCGTTTCGCCCCCTACTAGCCCTTCTCCCCCAAGCAGCGGAGGTGTGAGTACCCCGTTCCGCACATTCCGCAACTTCCTTTCCTTCGGGAGTAGCAACAAGCACGCACCCAGTCCTGCCGTTCCATCCGCAATCCCCAAGAATCACTTCGGCAGCCTTGGACCAGTCCGCCGCTCCGTGAATGTGGAACGAAGGGCATCGTCGCCGCAGCTCGCGAGGCGTTCGCAGGACGACTATGTGCTATCCATCGACCTGCCTCGTCCTGGTGACGAGAAGCCACCTAATACCCGCTCGTCGAAAAGCAGCAACGCCTCTCCAGTATCCCAGTCCCCTCTATCAAGCTCGCAGAGCTCAGCCGCAGATAGTGCAGGTACGTAATGTTCATTCCACATAAACTATGCACACCAATACTTGTCACAGCTTCGCCGGCTGGTACGCCCGCACTTCTCGCATCCGAGCTCTCCACCATCCTTGAAGCGGAGACTTCTGGGATCTCGAAGCACCTGCCTAGTCTCGATACCTCGCAGGCAGAGAGCGAGCGTGCGTCTGACATCAGTCCGAACGCGTTCCAGCCTCAAGCACTTTACCCCCCACCGCGCAATACCCGGCATGGTAGCTCATCGCCATCAAATGATACCTCCGCACTGGATCTTTCGACGTCGAAGCTCACCAGTGAGGTCCTTGCTGCTCTGTCGGAGACCGGCGGGCAGCAAGACTGGTTGAATGGTGTCGTCGTGGACGACGTACCGTCGGATACCGCGATTAGTCGCGAGCGGACGCCGGAAAGTCCGGACACTAGTTTCAACTTGAACTCGCTCGACCCCGACCTCGCCGCGCTGCTCAGCCCCAACAGGGTGTACGGCAGCAGTACAGAGCCGGCGGTCCTCCTAGCTATAGACGCTATGCCCCCTCCCGCCTCGAGTTCTCCCCCTTCTCCCACAAAGCCTACCTTTTCTCCTCGAGCGAAGACTGCCGAGCTGCAGGCTAGCACATCCACTCGTCGTATCCCTACCTCCCTCTCCGTCGCGTCCCGTCTCCCTTCACATTCCAGTACCATCCCCCGTATTACAAGGTCGGTCTCCGACCGCCCTATCTTTAGTCCAACAGGAAAGTCTGGTCCTCCCTCGCCCATCACGTGCACACCGTCAGGTCGTGCCATGTCCTCCAGCCCGGAGCGCCCCTCCTCGATGAGTTCTGCTTCCGCTCTCAGCCGGCTCTCGCGCGCCTCCCCCGGAGACATTACCGCCACTGCGAACTCTTCTATCCGGCGGCCTGGCAGCAGCGGGAACAGAGAAGAGCGTCGAACACCAGCTTCGCGCCTCATGACCCCCGCGCGACCTTCCTCGTCTTCTGCTTCCACGAGCACGTCGCGCCCGCCCATGTCGCGGCTACACTCGACACCGAATAGCGTCTGGGAAGCAGACTCAGCGTCTCCGTCCTCGCGCGCCCCATCGTCGATTGGCACCGCGCCGAGCCGCCTACAGAACCATCGGCCAAGCTTGGACATCGAACGACCACGGCTCACTGGCAGTGTCCGTACGCGCAAGCGTAGTACGAGTGTCATAGAGAATCGGGTGACGAGCACTTCCCCTTCCCATCCTCCTGTGTCCCTACCGGCGCCACGGAACATGGCGGACTGGCTTGGGCCGCGGACAGCTAAGGCGTTTGCTGCCGCTGGGCTTCTGGACTTTGACAAGGACTCTTCTCCCGCTAGCGCGAGTCGTCCTCCGTCGCGATTCGGACCCTCGCGAAGCAGCATCGACAGGGACTCGCGATCTCGCTACACCCCATCGCGAATGGCATACTCCGAGGCCGGATCGTCCTCGTCCTATGGCGCGCGCAGCGGTAGCATCTCGCGCGCGGCTGGCTATTCCGAGAGCCCCTCCACCACGGGCCCCATGAGCGAGACAATGTCTCCCCGCACAGTCTTCTCGAGCGCCTCGACGGCCCCGACTTCAGTGTCAGCCTCGTCCCTGAACTCGGAGGTCCAGCTGCTCCAAGAGAAGCACGCGCTCGAGACGAGTGCCCTCCTGAGCGCGCTCGCGGACTCGCAACGGACGACGCGGATGCTCCGCGACGAGAACGGGCAGCTGCGCGAGCGCATCCAGATGCTCGAGGACAAGCTTGCGGACGCGCAGGAGCGCATCCAGGCCATCCTGTACTCCCAGCCGCCCGCGGTGCCCCCAAACCCTATGTACCCGTCGAAGCGCTATGGGAGCCCGGCGTCGTCTTCGGACCGCCGCCTCCCTGCACATTCGCGCACTAGCTCGTTCGTGCGCCGCTCTTCCCCGGGCCCCGCGTTCGTCTCCCCAGAGACGCCATACGATGCCGCGAGTGCGTTTGTGCCTTCGTACAGAAAGCGCGCGAGCGTCGAGTCGTCTGTCTTCGCAACGCTCCCGTCTAATATGTCTATGATTATGCAGGAAGAGGGCGCCCCGCCTGATACCTTTACCGCCTTCTCTCAGAACTCATCCTCTCCACCAGGCTCGCCTACGATGGTACTCGCTAGAGTGAACGCAGGACACAGTCCAAGCGGATATCCATCGATCCCGAAGGGACCCTCGTCTCGCAGCGGGTATAGCCACGCCGCGAACAAATCCGTATCGTCAGCCGGGAACATCTCGCCGACAACCGCGAACTTCTCCATCATGACGGGCTCACCAGGCAGTCTGAACCTGCGTCCGGAGCACGAACGTCATCTGGGTGACATGCCGCCACTCGACCTCGATGCAGAGGGGTTCGAGTTTGACGACAGTTCGTTGCGGTAGCGCGTATGCGCCTACGTATGTCCATGCGTTCTCCTCCCTCTTCGTCCACTCCTTCCGCATTCCTGTCCTTTCCATGTGTTTGCTTGCTTGTTATGCTCGCGGACATCTCTCTCGCACGGATCGGTCCTGGGTCCTTCGTCTTAACTGGATATACTTACTCGACTTCGCTTCGGATCTAATCTTTCTTGGCGTTGTCCCCTTCGCCCTTTCCCACTCGTTGATGTCCACGGTCCTTTCGCATCGCTTTCGTTTCCCCTCGTCCCACATCTACCTCACTGCACACGCACCCACGTAATATAGACCGTCCATTGCATTGCTGTCGGCGTCGACTGTACCCTCTCACCACACGTTGTTTGTTTAGCTCCTCTGCGCTCTGCCAAAAGTTTGTACCGTACGTAGAGACCTATTCTAGTCCTGCATTGTACCCGTGTGGTACATCTTGCAGTTGCTCGGTATCTGCTTGGTGTCTTGCTTCATGGTCCTGGAAGCCACTCTCGATTGCAAGGACTCTAAGATGTTGTCTACCACTTTCACTTGGGAGTGGTTCGGCGTCCGAAGTGAGTCTTCCCGCTGTGTCAGCCTGGTTGCGAATTCTGATCGATTGCTCCGGAGTGGTGGCCTCCTCAGATCAATTCGTTCGCTCTCGCGACGCTTTTGAATAGTCACTGCCTGTCGCATCAGTGGCAACAAAGCGAGCTCGATGGTAGCGGCAGTGGCGCGTATGACCCCCTGCGCCGTTCAAGTAGAGCTGCGCTTTGGTCCTTTGTGACCGTCGGTCTGAACATTGCGCCGAGTCGCTTGGGCCATAAGAGGAGGAAGGCGTAGTCTGCCCTACGAGTAGCTCTGGTGCTTTGTTCGCGGCCACATGTCGGTGGCCCAGCGACTTAAAGGCGCGCACTCAGGGAAACGGGTCCAACTACGAACCACCACCGTTCACATTCAATTTCCTCTCTCACATTCGCCATCCGACGACTACTCGTTAGTTTCTGATCACAGCCATCCCCACGCTACGCATGACTTGTACAGAGACCACTTCAGCACAGAACCAACCTCCCATGGTGGTTGGATCGGAGAATTGTCTTGCATCGGACCCAGGATCTGTGAGTTGCTTCTCGCATGCTCAGGTTTTCTGTAGCGTTCATTATCTCTATTGAGATATTCAAACTTGATTGAACATGCAACATGGTTGACTTACCTTGACGTTCATCATCTTCTCCGTCGCTTTTGGAGCCGCTCACCTCATTTATGCAATAGGTGCGAAACAGACTAGCGGAAAAGCATGCTGGCTGTCATTGCTTCGTCGATACGCGTTGTCAGCTTGCCCTTTCATTCCAGAAGGCCCGCGAGTATTGGAACGCCAATCCACATGACAAGGTATAACGTCGCCTTCTCGCACTTGGCCCTAGATAGAAAGACTGACTTTGGTGGTAAGACCAATGCTCCGAACGAAGTGCATCAGGTTAGTGGCATCTCCCAAAGACAGTTGCACCTTCCAGCAACGTAATCTATTTCAGAACATCGAGAACTGGCTAGTGTCGAAGAGTTTGCTCCATGGTCCAATTATTGCAGTAAACGAGGTAAGTCTCGAATATTGTGCTTGCGTCAAGCAATAGTTCACATTGGCTTTTAGAATAACCCGAGCGTACACTCGCTCCCTGAAGCATCGCTACGACCCTCTCCACAGAAGCGACGAAGTTTGAATATACCCAATCTGCGACCCGTCAGAAGGCTACATATAAGTCTTCCCAACATTCTCACTAGGAAACCAGAGTATCGCAGCCTCCTTCCTGCTCCTATGCATGGGCAAACAACACCGTCACAATATCAACAATCTAGTGAAAACGAATATGTCTCGCCTCCCACATCCCCAAAGCGCCTGTGGCGTGCTCTGTCATTCTCATTCAAAGTGCCAGGACATAAGGCAAGGGAGCCCCTATTGTAGTCATAAGGACATTTTTCACATACCGACCTTATAGGTATCCCTATCTACTACCTTATCCAACGATACGATGTCGGAACTAGCACGTGAAGACGAAGCGGGACAGGCCGCGTATCGTGAGATCACTACCAGCATCTGTGAGGATGAACGCATGGTTAGTTCTACCTACTCCGATGCTACTCAAACATCATGTTCTAACACACGAATATCTAGGTGCCCGAGTTTGTCGAAGAACTCATAGCCCACCCTGTGTCGTACCCGTCGGCGATATCTCCTGATCCAGAACCGAGCCCCAGTTTAGCGTATGAATTTCCTAGCAACACTCCCCCCGGACCGAGCCTGATAGGTGATCATTTCAGCGTACAGAAACCGGAGGTAGGCTTATGGCTAGCATCTCCCGAGGTCCCGGACCTGATTTATATCTTGCGGCGATACAGACACTACCCCCTATCGATCCTGCCTACCGGGTGCTCTTACCCATACTACATGAACTCGACGAAATGACAATCAATCCTCGATGTCGCACGATTGCAGAGGAACACCAGGACGAGGACTATTCCCAATTCTGGGAAATATTCAGTCAAGTCTCTGCGAAGGAAATCCTTGACGCAGTCTATGCTATCCGAGCTGGAGTCTTGGACATCCCCGCCGACCCCTGCAGTCGTGACGATTCGTTCTTGCTAACGACGCTTTTTGTTTTATGGGCTGGTAGCGCAACACTATTGTCGATGTATCTCTACTTCTGTCACCTTTGGTGATCGACATTGCAGCGACCATCACGAGGGGTACGATTTCATATATCTGCAGAATTGATCGTGTTTGCTGGACGTCGATACAAGATCAAAACGCTCGCTAAATGACCACGTCCATAGAATGGTCTTTCCAAATACACACACGGGGCAGATGACATTTATCTATTCGTGCGATCAGCAGCTGTGAGACATACATCAGACAAATTCAAGAATAGGCACATAGAGGTAGATCTACTCACCAAACGAGCCGATCGTCTCGTCTTTCAACACGAGTTTGATCAGCCCTTTCGCATATGTCTGCGGCAAGGCACTCTCCAAGAATGCTTTACAAGCCGCATCTTCTTCCGGTCCCAATTCTAAGGGAGGGTTGCTATTATTGCTGTTGATGAAGATCGTACGCTCGTGTGATGTCGCTCACTCAACTACTTGTGGCGGGGAGAAGGCAAAAGCGACGACCTGTAACACGGGAAGCCGCATTATAGCGTTATCGAGGATGGACCAGTACAGCGCGAAGTCGGGCAGGTCCCATGAGCGAACGTGAGACATCTCATCGGTATCTCCATTACCGAATTGGACGAGGAGCAACGTGAGCGACGGCGGTGCACTGTTCACGAGCTCCAAGTTCGCCTCGAGGCAAGCTTTGCGATAACCCTGCGTCCGCAGCTCTGAGTCGTCTGCAGGAACATTACAGAACGTCACCACAAGTGTCTCGAGATGTAAGCAAGCGCGGATAGGGAGGGACCTCCAGTGGTCGAGAAGTGCTATGACCAAAGTGATGTCAGTGAGTATCAAGCGATTCTAGTGAAGTCACTCACCGAAGGGCCGGTCCAGTAGTCCAGGAGTAGACGATGTCATAACGTATCTGGCCGATCATGCACCCGAGGGGAAACAGTGGCCATTATGCGAATTGTACCTCATGTAACCTACGTTACATCAGGAAAAAATCAGTGTGCTACATCGCCCTAAGTAGACGCCATAGCTGTTATAGTCGCGTAGCATACCTCGGGGGTACATGGCCTACATAGCGCCCGCCCACAGCTCTGTAGATCAATGTAGATACGCCATAGCTCGTGTATTCTTACCATTAACAGCTTGTTGTTGCGATAGTAGGCGACAGCAATCTCGAAAATGCATGAAAGTAGATTGATTTACACTACGACAGACTAAATACAGTTGACATATGCTATACAATGACGTGTAAATACCCCGGCAAGCATGCTTCCTACATCCCTGACCACCCAACTACTACTACAACACGCGAGACTATTCACAACCATGACAGGATGGGAGGGATGATAGCTTGGAGACATAGCGATGCGGAAGGAGGGAGGGTACGAAGGGATGCGCAAGTACGAGACCACCATGACATACCTGTAGTTACCTCCTTGCAAAAGAGGTCAGAAACTTCTGGATGGACTCTGAGACGTACCTGTGTCTCAGATATCAGAGACGAGACAGTTCAGCACATACCTGTATCAGGAAGGGAGCAAGAACAGACGGTATGAGACACCTACAGAGCATGGACGTGCCACGTCATTCGCACAGAGCTGCTAAGTGGCTTACGAGACTACAGCAAAAAATGTACAACTTACCAGCTGCAACAGGAATATCACGATCAAGACAGAACCCAGAGCGAGTAGGAGAAAAGAGCGGAAGACAACGAAGGCAGGCAAAGGGATTGTACAGGGCAAGGCAAGAACCAAGTCTATCCCGAAGCAAGGGCGTCGGGCAGAGCGACGGGGTACCGAGTCATAGGCGCCCATGTTTAGGGCCGGTGCGAGCTGACTTGGCAAAATACATCTGCTACGCTCGATGAGAATGGGCAATATTGAGCCTGCTCCTGGGTCAAATCTGATTGCGAAGTATCGGGTCTTTCTACGTGTGTACTTTGCTAGGGTTTCAATCACAACGGGGAGCCTAAAAAAAGAGCTGAATACTGAGCGCTACAGATGTCTACATAGCTAGCGCCCTGTGCTACAGAGCTGACGTAGCCTACATAGCCGTGGCATGCGGCTCTGTAGAGATTCCTTTTTCCTGATGTACTATCCACCAATTTGGCCTCTGCGTTACTAAGGCGCTGCCACGAGACCCTGCAGACCCTGTGTATTGATGTCACCTCCTATCTGATCCAAAATATGTTGGAGGTCCAGAAGAGTCTAAGGGCATATCCAAACTTGATGTGGTGCGCGAGTTCGAGAAGACGGTCGGAGGACTCCGTGACCTGATCGGGGTCCCACGAGCACTCCAAGAAATGTATGGTCAGCTCGTCTACCTCCGCGAAGAGACCGAGGATATGGCATAGGGGATGGAAAGTGCCGTCAGATGATTTGCAATGAAGGAGGACCAGCTTCTCGAGGCGTCTATTGTTACAGGTTGGGGATATGTACGAGGCGACCGAGCCGAGCTGTAAGCGTGATGAGGAAAGCGATATGTGATGCATCACCAAGTTTCGCAGGAGGGGTAAGCACAACAGGAGGTCGTCCAGTTCTTCAACGAGGACCTCAGGAAGGTAGGAGTCCGGGTCTGCAGCGAAGATAGTGATGGTTTTAACGTAGGGATGAACGTTTGGCGAGGCGACGAGCCGATAACGGAGACATGATATTCTTGTCGCAGGAGTCAGTCGACAATACACGGTTTCGAAGAGGTGGTATCGGCATGACGGGAGCCAGGCGCGGCAAACGAGAGAGGATGCGGAGAGTGTTGGAGTGTCGTCATGCAGATGGTCGATGATGTAGTCCACGATTTCTCCCAGGCGTAGGGCTTTGGGACATCCATCCGTGTACGGACTCCCCATCGCCATCTCCATCTCCATCGCCATCGCTATTCTTTATGTGTTACGTCAGCTTTTGGTGGGAGGAGGACTGAGCAGGAGCATCGTACATACCCGCAGGTCGCAGTAGGTATCAGCTATGGTTGAAGACCGCTACGGCATCCGTGAACTGAGGAGCCTCCTCAGCACTTGCGTGGACCTTCGGCACGGCGACCAATCTGGGAAGTATCGTCTATCTGGTGACTCGCCGGGTCCATTCGGGGTGCCGGGCCTTCTGAAGCTTGTTGACGTCAGCACCGTGTGGCGCTTCGGTGTGCTTGTATATATAACTCACTACGAAAGCGCATTGCAGGTGTCGGCATGTTGATTGAGCACGGTAGTTTGCGATAAGACTATTCAAGTGATTCAAATCTATTGATAGCACGACAAACGACGGACGCCAGATGGAGATTTTTTTGAACCTCATGTAACGACCCGAGAAATTTCTCATAAGCAGAGTATCCCGTTCAGTCGTAGTTGCTGCTGCGCCTACGACTACGCAGCACATACTGGCTACATCCAAGATCTCAATTCTGAGGGTGCCTACGTGGTATGAATAGCGTACAATGAATAGAGGACCAAAGACTCGAACATACCTAGATACTGCTGACCCTCATTGCAACATGAAGACGTTGAGAATCCCTTTGGCATGAACCCGAGGAAGCACTCGCCCCAAGAACGCGGTGCAGGCAACTTTGTCCGGGTTCAAGAACACCGAAAGTGCACCTGTATCTCCTCCCACTAGACCTTCAGATAATGCCGCATCTGCGTGGGCAGGGAGAGGTCCTGAGGGAAAGAAGGCAGCCTCCACCGCCTCCAGTGCTGGCAACGCTATCACTGCATCGTCCAAGTCCCTCCAAACGGCAGCGAGATCAGGATCGTCCCAATCTGCAAGACGACCGTCCACTATAGTTGTCTGGAGGACGAAGAACATGATCGACTTGAGCGTGAGAGATGCGGCCTTCACTAGTTCGGTGTTGGCTGTGATGCAGCGACTGTAGAATTCCGATGGAGGGAGCTGCTGTCGAAAGACGGGATCAAAGAATATCATCAAGGTGCGGAGACGTTCGCACTGTGCGATGCTGAATGTCCTCCTCGTGCTGATATCGGCTGTAGAACGGACAAATATCGTCAAAAAGCTGCGGTTAATGATAAATATGGCACATACTAAGATATTCTTGAGATGTTGTCTCAAAGTATAGAGAGAAGCAAATGTCGATAGTAAGCTCCTCCAGCGTCTCTCGACAATCGTAGATCATTGTACCGAAGCAGTCGGAGCGCGATAGTGCCGCGGTGCTAAGAGTGATCTCCTGAAGTGGCCATCTGCTACCGTCCGGTGGGCTATTGACAAAGCTGCAGATCATCCTATCCAGTCCAACTTCGTGACCAGGGGTACCGCCGGCGTTACGTAACAGCGTCAGCACTATGCTCCCCCGCAGATGCTTGGCGAGCTCATCAAGGCGACGAGAGGCAGTCGCAAACTCTTCAATGTCCAAGCCTGCGCACATGGCCCACTGGACGTTCAGTTTTTCCAGCTTTGCAAAGAGCCCAAACAGGAAAAAGAACGGATGGGGAGTGTCAGATATACACTGCATAAGGGCAAGCGTGCCAAGGGATCGGGAGCCACTGGTCGGGGAAATATACGAGTCGTCGAGTGGCTTGCGCGAGGCGGAGAGTGTTACGCGACGTAAGGCTAGATGGTGGAGGAGCGGCAAGCACGAGATGATCTGTTCCAGTTCCTCCACCAGGACTTCGGGATACAGGGGCTCCGATACCAGTGTTGTTACAAGGAGCATTTTGATGTAAGGACGTACATCTTGGGCGACGTGCAGCCAGTTTCGCAGATGCGGTAAGTCCGCCCGCTGGGAACCAGGAATGCAACGGATGATTTGGAAGAGATGGTATCTGCAAGCCGGTAGCCAGGCGCGACATACGAGAGAAGATGCAGCGAGGGTAGTGACGTCGTCGTGGAGGTAATCAATGATGTTGTCGATGGTCTCTGCCGGTAAGAGGTTGTGCTTGGATGGGCTCTGAAGGATGCTCTGGTTGTCCATCTCTGAAAATCACGCTATGAGTCGAGTGAGATAGAACAATGTAAGAATGCTTGACCTGGCTCTGGTGAAGGCGAAGGGCGGCTAGACAGTCCCTCGGCGATGGACCCGATATAACGGTCCGGCCCGGCATGTACCCTACATACGTGACCGTCGTGACGGGCCCGAATAGCCCTCCAGCGCCCAGAGGGTAGAACCGCTGACGCCTACGGACAATAATGTTCATCTTGATGTCGCGCCTCAGTCGCGCCTCAGCGTCCCAAGCCGAAAAAAACGACGGCGGAAGCCTGGACACCTGCCATTACACTGCACGAAAAACATCTTCTCACCTTTGGAGATTCACCCAGTCACAGATCTCACAACCACAGCAGCCTTGTTCGCAATCCAACACAATCATTAACAGTAGCCTACGTCGTACATCAATCATGAGCGGTCTCTCGTAAAGTATCTCGTCATTTTGTCACGTATTATCGAGTCACGCTCCTTCCTCACCATCGCAAGCCCGCGAGCAGGCTTAGACGAGGGTCCAGCTGATGCCGTGGAGGCGGCCGACGTCGAGCGAAGCGAGCTGCTGGAACGCCGTCGGAGTGAGGTCGACGGAGCCTGGCGCGCAGCCCGGGCAAGTGTCCGCGACCGTCACGGTGACCGTCTTGCCGTCGGGGCCGGTCACGACCATCTGACGACCGCACATCGGGTTACTGCGGAGATACGGTGGTGATGAGCATAAGACCTGAAAATCGAAAAGAGAGAGACGCACGCGTTGGGGTTCGCGGTCGCGCCAGGGAAGGACTGGATGGTCGCAATGTCGACAGCGACGATGAAGTCCGCCTCAGTGTTGAAGAAGCCACAGGAGCCGAGGCCCGGGGTGTAGAAGGTAGCTGCGGGATATCACCATCAGTCCCAGCAAGTTGAAGGTCAATGCAGGAGAATACGCACCATCTCCACCCGACATGGAGAGACTCTGCGCGAAGCCGGCGGTGGCGGCAGAGAGGGCGGCGAGGACAACGGCGGTGAAGCGCATCTTGATAATAATGAAAAGGGGAACGGCGACGAGAAGACGAAGAACGAAAGAAGCTGGTGTGCGAACGGGGGAAGGCACCGGGCCTGAAGGTTGCGATGGAGTGCGAAGGTGAGTTGCAAACTGGAGAATCCCCTTCTGCTATACCCGGAGTTTATATACCTGCGCGAGCGGGCAAGCGCGGTCCCATGACATACGCGCGCAACTTCGCGCGCGTGTGTCCGCAGGCAAAAGCAATGAGGGCTCGCTCCGACTGGACCACGGATCGGAAAGGCTGAGGGAGACCGGAGACAACGAGCAAGGCGGCCATCAGGGCATCGACTGATCGCGCTGAACGGAGGGAGGTTGGGGTTTCAGCGTGGTGATGCGCAGATGCGGTTTGGGTCCCGGGTTAGCGGTCGTGACCAATCGCCAGTTTGTGGAGGATTGTGATCCTGTACAGATACGTGATCACGGACAGTTGCCCATGCGTTCTGGCGGGATGAGAGCGAGCTAACATAGACGCGCCATGCGTTGTGGAGTACACGAAGATAAATTGAAGGTCTTAGGGAGCGGTGCATGCCAAGACTGAACGGAGTGCAAGTCTTCTCATGACAAGTAGCCTGCTCATCGCGCCTCAAACCCATATTTGAATCGGTCATCTTGAACAATTGGGGGTACGCTAGATGCGAAATATCAGCGCCTACTGAGCGTCCTCAATAGCCGTCAGTGACCGTGTCTGCGGTGGATGCTTTCGCAGTGGCAACGCCTAGGACCTGATCAAGCAAATTGCTCACCGTCAAGACACCGCCGGCGGCAACAAACGTGCATTGCATCCTTTGTGCCGGGGCTGGCTGCGAAGTCGAGACCCGAGAGTATAGGGACTCGACGCTGGCCACGTCGGCGATTTCCATGGCGATGTGGATGGGATCTGTGCTGGGAACACCGCAAAGACGCCGAGATTGCAAAAGGGGCAGCGCCTCGATGCAGTGTCGTCACAAGGCTGTCGATGAGCTTGCGGGAGTTACAAAGGTCCTCAACTCGGCATCAGGAAGAGGATTGGCGAGGGAATGGAATTGAGCTTCCTTCGACAACAGGGAGGCTGCGATCCGAGACTCGCTGGGTAAAGTAGCCGATGGCACAGTGACCGATTTACTAAGCGGCTTGGTCGTTGGGGGAAGGTCCCTATGGAAAACACGACAACTAGCGTCGGAGCATATGATGAATAGTCTGAAGAGGGCTCACGGCATGGAGTCTGGCGCAGCTGAGGGCAGAGGCCAAGGGTGAGAGTATCATATAGTCGAATGCAGGTGACATGTGCTCGGTTCTCTGAGTCAGCGTCCCGGTTACCTCTTGCGCCTACATGAACCGAAGCGTCGACATTCTGCTCTCCCATTCCGAGTCTTTTCAGAACAGACTGTGGATTCGTCTCTCATTCCCTACCATCGGCATCAATGAAGTCGGAATACCCCTCTGGATGGCACAATATCAAGTAAGTAAACGAATATCTACGTAAACTCAAAGCGCAGTTGATTATTCGAGGTCATGTTCGAAGCCATACGGTGCATTCCTACTGCTCTGCAAGATGAGTCTCTTTGTTGCATATTCATTGTCATAGCAGGCAGCGGCCACGAGGATGATACATCAAGTGGTGACCAACTTGCGCTAGCTAATACTTGGTTCCCTCCTGAGCGCTGAGCCGTGGCTGATGTCTATGCTACGTGTTCCTTCGCTCTTCAGGGCAGTCCCCGCCGCTACCGGTAGTAGCACTAGAACTAAATGTCCAATCCATACATCCCCAGCCAAGTATCATCCTGTCCACCTATCGGGGCGAGCGCACATCGCCCGTGCGTGCACCATTGCACGCGCGTTGACTCCTCGGGGACATTCCATTCTCCTTCGTCCTGCGACGTGCCAGCCTCCGACACATCTCAAAAAGGGGATAAGCTCAGAATCGAAGGGAAAAGTCGCCGGAAACATGGCCTTCTGTGGGGGATCTGGGCTGAGGACATCGGGAGAACAGGCTCCCACGTAGACTGTGAATGATTCATCGCCTAGGAAAGAGATCATCTCGGAGTCGCCTAGCACATCCAGCCTAAGACACTTCTCAGTGATCTCGGGCAAGACGCAATCCACCCTCCGCGACCTCTCTGAGGACCGAGATGAGCATACACTGGTGTAGCAGCACTCGAAAGATATCATGGATGTCCTGGAGGGGGAGGAAGATGTCGCGGCAGTGTTTGGCGTGCCGATACGGGGTATGGTGTCATGAGAATGGACATACACTTTCTTTACCTCTGGCCGGGCCAAAAGACGAACGTATTTGCCAAATGGCAAGCATAACTTTGCGGCTATGGCGAGGCCGCTGCGCTCGAAGATGAAGATGCGGGTTCCGCGGTAGTACTGGGTACGATGCCCAGCTTCGGCAATGTACCCTCCGACATGGGACGTGTTGCTGGTCGTGGGGCACGATGGCGGCCGTAGAAAGAGAGCAATGATACGCCCTTGCTTATCCTGGCAAGCCAGTAGAGCGAGGGTCGCAAAGCCGGAGGATGTGTGCGCGATGCTTATTAGAGGGAATTTGGTGCGAATACCATGACAGGACCTCGTGTACGGCGAAGGGAACGTCACTGTTATGCCTATGCGTTCATAGAAGCTCTGGTGGGAGATCGGACTAATGCCTGCGCATCCGGCGAAGTCCGCGGGGGAGGAGGCAAGGAGCGTCTCGGAGGTAGATTGAGGTACGCTATCACGTTCCTTGGCGCTGGCGGGGATGGCGCCGGCGCCTAGGCGATAATCGTCAAGAATAGTTCCCCAGGCGAAGATGCTCTGGTCTGGGGTTTTCTTGACTATCTCCTCCTGCAGCCTTAGGAAGGCGTTCCTCCCCTCTCCGTACAAGATCGGCATATAGACCCCGATTATGCCCATGAGACAGTATGCTTCGTCCTCGACGCGTCGGGTTTCCCTTCCGGCAGCCCACGACATCCGGCACGCGACACTGCAGTCCTCGACCCTCCGTTCATGAGTGAGCACATAGCGGTCGATGCCGGTCACTTCTTCGATGAGATCTGCGAGGGTGTGCTTATCACCGATGACTTTCCAGCCCTTAGAGAGGAAGATGACGGAGCACGGGGCGATGAGCTCCTGTAGTGTCCACCCGCGCCTATGCCACCTGCTTCGCCGGAACGAGGAGGTGGGATGGCGAGGATCCTCTACTTCCACGCTCGGAACGTCATCAAGTAGCGCATAGCAGTTAGAGGCGCATTCGTACCACCGGTACATCGAAGCCATCGCCTCCGAGAGCTCGACGCTGTTGGTCTTGTCGATGCAGCAAGTGTCCGTCCATAGCCAGCGAAAGCCATCCACCCGCGCCTGAGCGCACACGTTGCGGATCTTCTGTGACGTAGGGTACAGCATCCAGCGGAATAGACCGAAGGATCCTGGAGTACCAAATCGAGGTGTGGACTGGAAGCTCTGCTCTTTGTTGGTCCACACGTGAGAGAGAATCGCGTACGGGACGTCAGCGGGACCAGAGAACTGGTGGAGTTCGATGGTCTCTGTGTTGAGAAGCCACATGAACTGGGATGCGTCGTAAGTCTTTGTATGAAGTCAAAATGCGGAAGAGACTTACGAACAAACACGATGTAGCTAAAGAAAAATCAAGATGCTTGCTGGTGGGTAGAAGTTGCCGGTGGGGATGCGCCGAAGAGGCAGTCGAATGTTCAGTGCAGACTTGAGGGAGGCAATGTGAGCACAGAAGAACCCGTCTTATATTGTTAGCGAAACCGGGACTCGTCCAAATATATTGAACATCTTGAAGCCAATGACTTGTTCACTTGTGGATGCTTCGTAGATGGATCCCTGGGATCCCTAGGATAGGTCATGAGCGTGGCGGGAGATGCTTCGAGGGCGAGATTCAATGATATGCAGAAGCGACCAGCTCCCAGTAGCACCCTCTCATGAACGATGCCACGCGAGTTTGTCATATTGATGATTTTGGAGCCAGCAGCTGGACCATGGAGTGACGGATTTGTGGGAGAGGGCGGTGTCATCAACATTATTACGGATAGGGACGTATTGTGACCGGATATATGGACTGATAGGTAGGTGACTGGCTCTATGATCTTTCCGCGGCCAATCACTCAGGTATACATATATCTCCACCCAGAGATCTGTTCTTCGTCGGACACATCCACGTAATACCAAACGAGTGGCACACGATGTTCGGCGAGATATCCGACAAGCTGAATGTACGAGCTACAAATATCAGTGCAGATATATGGGAGACCGGTATAGAGGCTGGAATTCATTCTGAGATATCTCGAGATCTAGTATGACTTAGAAGAAATGGCAGAGTAGAGTATCTTGCAGGTGGCGGTCCGGATACTCTGTCGCAATCCGGAAAGACAATTGTATCCAGCGTACCCTGTAAAGGAATCTGCCTTGTATGTCTGGATGGATATCACGATGTCTAAGTCAATTTAGGTGGACGACTCTGTAGTTATCCGGGCAAACATCAGACATTGGCTGGGTTGTTCTTCTTCTTGCGCAATTCGGCGAGCTGGGTATAAATAACTCTTCCACACTCGGGGTGGAATCCATCGACTTCCCCAAGAATAGCGCCTGCGGCCGTCCCGAATATGACGGCTGACATCATAACCTACCGTCTGGGAGAAAAGCACTATTGTTATATAGTGGCCCCAAAAACCTACGATGTGCGTCGTCATCTGTTCATTATGCGCTTGAAACTCATACAAGTCACCATCTAGGCCGCCATTCAGGCGGCGAGGGATAATTACAAGGAGCTCAAGGACGTCGATCCAGCTCGTATCACCCTCTGCGTCAATAGCTTCGTCGGTGCTCAACCGCAGCGTGTCCGGATCAGCCCAGACTCATGGCCGATCGTACTCTCTAGGCTCTCCAGCCGCCAGGTCGTCGAAATCGTGTTGCAGCCTTCCACTCTCCCTCACATTGTTGTACACGCTGCTGAGGACGTGGACAGTCTGCCCACATACGAGGGCCTCCGGGAGCAATCTCGGTCGAAAGACTCTTATCTCGCTGCCCCTCCCAGCCAATCGGTGTCCCCACTGGTGAAATCTATATCCACAGAACTCATTCGCTCCGTTCAGAGACATGCGAGAAGATGACGTCCCCTGCACAGTCTCAGAGGTCGGAGTCCAGCCCCTTCTCATTGTTGACAGGCGTTGCGAATAACGTCTTCCATGGGAGCTCCCCGAAGTGACTTCCCGCCTCTGAGCCTTGCATGTATATGTAGCACGCACCACCCTGGTTGTGCCACAAGATGTACCAGCGCGCACAATTGTCATCACAGAAGTCTTTCTTTCCTGATATGAATGATGGCCCCGTCTATATGTGCTGTTAGCACTAACGTGTCTAAATATGGCGTCTTGAGAGACTTTGAACCAGAAGTGGAACGAAGTAGTCCGAGTCGGGTTTGACGATGGAAGGTCAAGTTCGAGGGATAACTTGAAGTTCGCCCATGGCAGGCGCGTCGATCACAATGGTGACGGGAGAGCACGTGGGCGTTCCGGGAGCCTGGGAAGGGCGTTGACCCGGTCTGGGTCTGACTCTTGTCTGGGCGACTGTCGCCGCTGTGCTTCCTGTCCTCGCCGCCGTCGACGACGACGAGCTCCCCCTTCTTCGCGACTGCATCGCCAATACCATTCTCTCTCTCTTTTCTTCTCGTCTGTCCCTCATTGCACTTGTATCCCTCCAGACATCTAGCGGCGAAAGCGCGCCCAGGGGTGATTGGGGGGGAACAGCGAAAGATCCCCAGGTGAGCTCCTCACTGTCCATTCTTCGGAAAATCACTCTCTTCTTTGACGGTCCTGGTGACTGCTCTCGGGTCTCAGTACTTTTCACCGTCGTGCCACTCCTGGAGGACTGGAAACCTGTTACCCTGCAGCAACCGACAATATGCAGATCTAGCGCGCTCTGGTGAGCTTTGCGACCCCCAGCGCGCATACTAAACTCTGTCTTGAGAATCACGCCGGGGACAGAGAGACAACGATTTAACAAGCAGTGCTCGACCCAGCCTCCCAGAAGTGGCTTTTTGTGTCGCATCTACATCATCTCGCCGCGTTGGCCTTACGGCACCGAGCGCACCAACTTTGTCTGTGACGTCCAATATCGAAGGGACACGCACTTCCTCCTACAGCCGGACCAGCGGACACGCAAGACCAGCGTGCATGACCGCAGCCCCAACCGTGCCGCAGCGCCATCCCACAACGATGTCTTGGAGCGCACATGTCCGGTTGCATCGTGCACGGTCTCATCGCGGTCCGCTGGTCGCGCTCTTGGCGGGTTGCGGATCGGTCGGAGGCCCGGTCGCGCCCAGATGCGATCACTTCCGTCCATCGGGCCCTTGCGCCTATCTATCAAATTCGGCGGCTGCACCACCGCAGGGGCGAGGCGCAAGATACACATCGTGCAGCTTTCTGATTCGGCTCATACGTGGGGGGCGTGCGTCTCGCCTGAGAGGCAGGCGAACAGACGAACAGACGAGTTGGGTGCCTTTTCCGGTTGACACAGCTGCGACCCACCCACGATAGGCCGCAGCGTCGGACATGCCGGACGGTCGGACAGTGAACCGCTCTGACGCATCCATATCGTCCAGCCTGGATGATAGATGCTCGAGCGGTGGCCGTCGGTCAGGCAGTGCCGCGAACTCGTTCGGGCCTCGCGCTGGTGCACGCATCCTTTGACGGCACAAGCTTGCAGTTACGCGACCTGCTGCTGTGCTTGTTCAAAGAGGTCACGATCTGGAGACAGTTGTCAACATACCCTGGACGAGATCTGATACATGCTCTTCGGTCTCCAAGTAGGTCTCATGGCAGACATCTTGCGAGCCGTAAAGAACGATGGGATCGCGCAAGCTGCCCTAAACCTCGCGTTTTGCATCATTAGGGGCGAAACGGCCCGCGATGAGACGACCAGCGACATGGTGGGGCATCGACCATACATGCAAGGCATTGCGTTTACCAGCTATGCAGTCAGGGCGGCCGATAGTTGGTCTCGCGGGGGAGTCAGGCACTTTGCTGTCATGTCGTCTCAGGGAGGGACTGTCGTGATTCCTATCCATGAAGATGTGTCAAGCAACGAAGAGATAACCTTGGCGGACAGAATGTACCTGCTACCCGTTGATGGTAGTGGCAGAGAAGCAGTTAGCGGCAGGGATGAGAGCAGAGGGTTTGCATTCATTACTGGCTCCGTCGCAGCTCAGGGGCAATTCGAGGTTCGGGCAACGGCTATTGCGGTCAGGAAGGTGCATAAGAGTAGGGGAAAGTGGCAGCTGAGGAGAATCGGTCAATGTATCGTACATCGCCCAAGTCGTGCAGTACGCTGAACATCTTCTGCCCCCGGACTCCCTGTCGAGTTCTGTAGCTTTGCATCCATTCCGGCGTGTTGAAAGGCTGAAACACCGTGACCGCGGCATCCTGGCGCTTGGAACAAACGCCCATGATAACAGATGATGTAATCAAGGTGTGGTAATTGGCGTTCACTGTCTTTCTTCGTTGCAGTCGTTCAGTCCAAGAGTTCCCCGCCCTCCTCATCGACATGTCGCTCGATTACGCCCTTGAAGACAGCTTCAATGCCGAAGTGGAACGGCTCCTGACTGACCCCGCCGTCTCTGATATGGCTTTACATAGCCAAGCCCAAGAATATCTGCAGGTCTATGACGAACCATCATTTGGAGAAATCAATGTTCCTCCGTGGGTTCGCCGCATTCAGCCGCATACGAGATTGAGGATCAAGTATACATCGAGGCGACTGTTTGATACGATGTACGAGGCAGCGACTACACTTCGAGTGCCACTAGGTGCGCGATATGTTTCTGCCGCCATTTGCGCTTGTGCTAGTCATGCCAAGAGCGCTGTGGCTTGTTCTCAAGATCAGCCGAAGAGTGTTGCAGAAGCGTTAGGTCGGCTCGCTTCGGTTTGGCTTGCCTTTGTGCTCTGGCCCCGTAAGCTCTTCGACTGCCTGCTCTTACATTCCGTGTCTTTTAGATCTTCGAGGCCCAGATTATATCCAAGCGGTGTTGCCTGCGAAGTCATCTGGTGAAGACTCAGATTCAGGAGATACTACCCCGACAGGACGATCTGAAGATCTCTCCCGGAATACCGTGGCGTATCGTCGATGGGCTGTCTTGAGAGACGAAGTAGGTCAATTTGCTGGGCTCTATCTTCGCTCCCGCTTAGGGTGTATCAGTTGTATCAGCGTGATAGGTATAGGTGCTTCATGTCAGGAGCTGTGCTCTATCG